TCCCTGCCTGTACAGTACAGTACAGTACTGTACAGTACCGTAATGTACTGTACAGTACATTTAATAGTGTACAGTACAGTACACGCAGGGACTACTTCAAAGAAGAGATAGGGACGGGACTGGACATGACGGGACACGGCCAAAAAATGATAAGACTTTTTGCAGGTATTTTACAATATGCTACGGCTGTAACCGTACGCCGTACTGTGCAAAACCAACCTGGCAGATAACTTGGAGCACGGTCGTGTACAGTACACTGTACAGTACACCGTACTGTACTGTACAGTTTACAGTATAAGGTACGATTACCGATGGTTGGTACAGCTGAAATGACCAGCAGGAAAGTCGGCCTGCCGACGATCATGCACTGTACTGTGACTCCTGTCTCTTCTCTTCTTTCGAGTACACGGTATAAAGTTACTGAACCTCTGACAGGTCTACAGTACAACAAAGGGTAATACTATCTGTTAAATGAGCACATTATCGTAAACCGTCAGCAAAGCGACGGGAGTTTGCACTAGTACAGTACTGTACAATTGTACACGTGTACATTGTACAATGTACAGCACAGTACTGTACTGTACAATGTACATGTGTAGCAGAGAACTGTTGTCCATCCGTCAATAATACTGTATAATAGTGAGTCGCTATTAGTCACCGACACGACACGACTTACATCCACGAACATTTTTGGTTCATTGCATCGATCTGTCTTTCAAGTCTTAGGGACTTAATAAAGTGATAACGGGATGACTGCAAAGAATTTTTTATCTCAAGTTTACCATGATCCCTTCAAATGGTAATTCAAGTGAGATTGCTTTTAAGTGAGAGAAACTAAGTTTAAAAGTTTCTTTGCTGCGCTGTGCAATTAGTGCACAGTACTGTACTGTACAAATAGTTCATAGCTATCATACCGTACACAAAGTGTGTATTTGTACTCGTCGTAAACGTATCTACTACATATCCTTATTAGTGCAGTGGTGTATGATCTATAATAACACTAACCTGTACTACTGTACACTGTACAGTACTGTATCTTGCAGTCTAGCTATCGACTATATCTGGCTTTGCGGTGACTCGTAAAATAATTTTGTACATAAAAAATATGCAATAAAAATTACATAATGGTGCATTGATATGTTTTCGTTTAATCCTTATTGCCAAGTTAGTGGCATTATTTTTATTAACTAATCATACTTTATTGTTAACCTATTTACAAGGGCTTTATTTCGAAATGTAACCCTGTTTGCGGTGGCCATCTACTGTGTACGTGAGTTTGCGGATATAGACTTAGGAACGGCAGGCGACATGCCACAACAAAATATGGCACTATAACATCAACCGAAATGCATTAAAAATGTACATTATGTTATACTGATGTACAGTACATTACAGATCCAATCAAGGCTTAAGCATATCTGCTTTCTGGATAAATGGTTTCGTTTCATAGTTTAATAGTTTTAATACATTCGTAATTAACTATAGTGAAATAAGTTTAATTTACAGTATATAATGAAGTTCTAGTATGGGATGAAAACATCATTCGCTTCGGCTATGGAATAGAATCGTTTATATGTAATACGTACGGAATCATTCATATTCATCTTCATTACGACTACAGAGGACTGTAGTCGATTCATATTTTGCTTATCAAATAAATCGTTTAAACTTGACACAAAAGCTATAACTAATTGTCAGTTTTACTAGAAACTGTCAATTGAACATTCCTGTGATCCAGTTAATAAATAATTTATGATTGATATAACGGTATAATTTCGTTGGGATCTACTAAGCTTTTATGTTAATAAATTACGATGTTGTACAATATTTTGCTGGAACTTGATAACAATAAATGGTAAATTCTAGAAATGCTGTTACTCAAGGTGATCAATTAATTCTGAAGCTGCGAGGGTATTTTGCAGTAATACACAGTAAATTCTTGGTAGAGGTCTTTTCTTTAAGCCTTTTGTTATTGGAAATGGTGGAAAGTTGAACTAATCTGTTTTGAATTGGAGTATTTTTCGCAGAAATAAATTGTCACATGAAATAACTTGCATCAAGAGACTTTTGAGTGTGAGGCTATTCCTGGCAATTAATATACTGTAGCACTGGTGTTATCGAAATACCAATAGTTCGTTGGGTATAATATTTCTGATATAAAATAACTTTAAGTCATCAAGAATAATGGAAATCTTAAAGAGAATTAGCCTTTAATTCCAAATCTTGAAAAATCATAGCAATATATAATGAATTAGCAGTCATATTTCATCGTTGAGCTGTCGTTCCAATAACCACTGGACATACGAGTACATATAGTAAATTTATCCATTTGATGAAGTTATAGTTTTAGGGCTTAAAACGATAATAACTACTACTGCCTATTCCTTACAGTAGTACTTACAATTGGAGTCTGCAAAATGGAACAAATTTCTTGTTGGCATAGACGAATGACCCGGATTTTAGTGTTACAGATTATTCATTTCAAATTATACGGCACGCGAATTAGAAGGATAATTCTATAGAATAGTTACGGAGAAAGAGCTGTAACTCAATGCAGCAGACTTATTGTTATCGAATGATGAAAATTCGTCAGAATTTTATGTTCTTGCTTACGTAAAACATTGAACAATGCATGTGATACAGCTTATGTCATACTGATAATAGAATTCACTAATTTACTAAAAAATCATAACGTAGCAGTGTTATACTGTAGTTTATTTTATATATACAAAATACTACAGCGTTGCAAAAACATAGTGATCTTTTAACATCATCAGTTTATCAGTAGCGAGAAGTGGTTGTAGCCGTAATAGCTACAAGCACAATCGAATTTACTACAATATCTTACACAATTATGGATAAGTTAAGGCTAATAAACAATTATAGACAGCACAACATTTCTATTTATAAAAGGTCCAAATATTTTGTAATTTCTTGTGTAATATTGCAATACAGAGTGGTCAGAATTGTAAATAATTTATAGAATTTTAACGTATTAATTCTTTGATATCGAATAGCATAATTAAGAAGTTTAGTTCACATAACAAGAATTGCTACCAGTAATAGACAATCTGATAAGTACAGGTAACATGCGGAATCTGTATCTTGGCACTTACATCAACATTGGTGAAATCTAATAAAGAAAAAAATAACTGAGACATTTTTAATAGCTGCCTCATCCTACGACAAACTCCATAATGGTATTAATGAGTTTGTAAGTTGGTACAGATAAAGGGTATTTGCCTAACAGCTTTTGTTGTAATAGAGGTGTCTGGACGAAGTATCTATCATGAAACAATTAAATACGAGTTAATTTATATTTTTAAAGGAATGCATTTACGATGAAGCATTAGAATTTGTAAATCGATCTAAAGTTAAAGAAGCAAGTACTACGATGTTAACCATATAATCATGGCTTAAGTTGTAAATTTTGCAATTCAATAATGTATGCAAAAAAGAAGGTTTTCGGCTCACTAACTTGAATTCTTCGGCATAGTTGCATTTAATATACTCAGCAAATTTTTTGCTATTTTGGATGAGTGTGCTCAAGATGGTGAACTTCTGATACAGTTGAGCTATTTCCAGAGGAGATAGGAATTCATTACCAGTGTTAGATAATTTCTCAAGAGCCGCATCGGTTATTCGTTTTATAAAGTTTTCCTATGAAAATAAAATAAGAAACTGCAGAGGCTATTTAGTAGTAACATTGCGATATTAGCCTTACGCTTTTTTCTTGCTTAGATTCCAGGAAGTTGATGAGCCACCATATATTCATCAAAGGAATAACGTCGCCCCAGTATTTCATCTGTGAAAAGTATTTACTGAATTTGACATTGCAACAAACTAACATCTATTATTTATACATTAGAGTAGATGTTAGCATTTGTAAATTTTCGGCAGAGAAATAATTGTTACCTGTTGAGTTACTAATACAATCTCGAAAATGACAGCAGCAGCCGCATCAGTTATATTCTTTTCTAAGATCATATTCTCATTATCTTCAGCAGAATGCCACTTTTCATATTCTAACAATCTCGAAAAATGAGGTCTTTGCAGATTTAAGATGCTATTCATAGAGTTACTGCTAGTACTAGTTACTGCTCCGTTGATCAATTTCAGGAGCATTTGGGCCCTACAGAGAGAAGCAAAATGAAATATCGTAAACTAGGTATTTATAAAGCACCTCCAATAGGTATAGTAAAAATAACTGGCTTTCTGCCACACTGGAAAACTGCGGTCATATTAAAAATGAAGCTTGCAACACTATCATTTAGAAATTTTATTTTTCTAACTTGTGTAATTTGAGAATGGATATTCTTGATGATACGACTTCAGTTTCTCTAAACATATTTCCCAGCACTTCTAGGTAGACCAGGCACAGCCTAAACGTAATTTAAGTGCCAACAGCAAGATCAATACATCGGTTACTACTTTCTGGTTGTAATCACATCATTAAATATTATTATGAATTATGACATTTTTGGGGAGATTTAGTTAATTATTCACAGTTATAACAGAATCTAGCTAAACAGAAGTTTCTCTGAATAACAAAGAACGCCAGAATAATAAGCACTGTACATTGAGGCTAACCAGAATTACTACAGCATTTCTTGTTGATTGTTAGCAGTTCTGTTGTGATATATGTTATCATTACAAAATTTATTGTAACACTTTTGGAGGTTACATAAAGTACGATTTAATGTATATATTATAATGCTCGATATCTCTACCAATAAATTTTATGCAGTCAATAAAACAGAGTGAGTAATTAGTATTACAATTGATGCGCAATGTTTCGCAATCATCGACACCTCAGGCAGGTAGCTGTAGATATTCGAACAATTCCTAATGATATCAGATTCTGAGCCGATATTATATACAGTACTTACTCCAGAGTATCAGCTCGTGATTGCGGAAGCCTCCAATGTGAAATTTCTCTATTCGATGAACAGGTAACATCGGCTAAACTTGTTGCAATATAATTGAAGAGATCTGGCGTCTTCCAAAATAGCTTTTTCAATGAATAGTTTCTGATACAAGCAGTGTTTAGTTCTTGTAACAACACGTAAATTTCTTCTAATTTTGTGGATGTTAGAATTTCTTCCTTCAACTGATTAAACAATTGCAGTTGTTGTTCACTACAGTATTAATAAAATAAAGTCAACCTGGTTTATATTTTGCAATCCCATACTCTTCTAAACTTATATAGTTATGGTTAATAAATTACATAAAGCCTAAGCTAAATAGAATTATTATTGTAAACTTTGATGACATTAGTTTCTTGCAGTCCATAGACTCTATACTAAGCACTTTGTATATGTATACTAGAACTTAGCATCAATCATACTCATGTACTCTAGTACCTGCCAATACGGATGCTAATTGAAGTATCTACATACTGTACTCAGAGTTTAATATCAACGCGATTTTCCTGTATCTGTATCACATCGAATCATTTTTAGTTTGTATTAGTAACATACTGATACGAAGTCTTTACAGTATATGCAAGGTGATACAGATACAGATACTGATACTTGTTTAGTGATACTAAAAGTCATACTAATACTAATACAGCGATGTTCTATTATTACTCTCTACATAGTATTATACTAGTACAGTATATGTTAATTAAATAAATAAATGTACCTTTACAGTACTTTATTCACATAGTGCATACTATAATTCGTATGCTAATATCTACAAGACTAGTTAATACAGCAGTACTAGACCGGTTCAGAATACACAAAGTTATAAAAAGTTAACTTTAGACAATTCCATATCATACTATATCACTCGGGTTAAATCCATGTTTTAAGGTGTTTATTTAACGCTAACGTCAAATAAAAAATCTTGAAATCTGGAATGATTAATGGCAGCGTAATATGGTATGATATGGAGGTCTAAACTTGAATTTTTTCAACTTTTGTGAATTCTTAATCGGCCTAATACATACTGCATTGTATGCAGATTACTTCTACGGTATAATTATGCACTTACAGTTCTGCACAGTACACAAAAGTTATATCATTTTGTGTTACCATGTATCACCAAAATTTTCTCGGTATCTGAAGCACATGATACTTTCAAATTATGACTTACTACTGATACTGTATAAGTATCATTGAACTGATACAAAAGTAATAAGTGATATTGAAATCTGACTGTACTAGAAGTTCATATTCTACTGCCACATATCAGAAACAAATAGTATTTTGTACTTCTTCTAGAAAACTGATGCGGACGGACATCGAATTAAATTAACATACCCATCCTTAATATGTAGACAACAACAAATATGATTTGTATTTGCGAATACATGAATTAATTAATAATATATGCTAACACGTTTCAATTTCTTAGCGAACGTTTGTTACTTATGCTTTGATAATTCTCACCACATGTGGTACATACGTTAAATGTTTGCTACTTTTATTGGTGCCAAGTTTTCTTAAATAGTTTGCATCCATTTCTAGGGTTTGCCTCTAAAAAGGAGAAGTTTGCTCGTAAGGGATCGAAATTATTGACTTGTGGTACAGTAATATGAAACAGTACAATGGTGGAGTTCGTATAGGTGACAGATATTTTCCAGGTAATATGTAACTGTAGCTCTTTTGTTACTGTACAGCAATTCATATAAAGTAGTTACTTTCTTGCAGCCAAATTACAGTAATGAATGATTTTATGGCATAACGTGAAGTTGTCACGACGTAGCGTGCTTTTAGTCGAACTGCTAGTAAGTACACATTGTTTTAGCTTTTGAAAGACATGCCTAATACAGTCTAGCAAGCAACTCAACATAAGCCAAATCCCTAATGTTCTTCGTTATTCCACTATTCATTTTGTAAACAAGAGTTAAAACTTTAGGTTTAAAGTAAATTTGATTGTAGACAACTAGATATCGTTTAGCTGAGGATTTTGTTATTTAAGCAGTACTTTAAGGCGCGTTATGTAGTAAAGTAGTACAATAATATATAAGTCGTAATGATATACAGTAGAAAACATTATTAATTATTGGGCTAGTATAAGTTTACTGATCAGTTGATCATGCTAAAGATAGTTTTACGTTAAGATAAGTGGTACATGCGCTTACAACGATATTACAAGTAAGAATGCAGGTACCCGTATAATATATATATATACGCACATGTTATGTATGTAAGAATACAGTAACCTGTTGAACTGCACCTAACGTGTTAGCATAAGATAAGGTGATGAATTATTAAGATAAGGGTATAATAGCCTTAATAGGTCATTACGGCTATACTACTATTTAAATGCAGTAAATCCTAAATAAAAGAGACTTTTAGTAAGCTTACTAGGAGGAGTACTGTATATCAAAGTCCCTCGTGCTAACGCTAACGACTAACAGTGGAAACACAACGGCACATACAGCTTTGATGTTAACCTTACCATCATATAATTTTCCCAGGTACTATGCATGTACATAGGCATCTTGGAGGTATCGGATAATATATAAATGTCCACTACCGTCTGATTTCTGTCAATTAAATTATAAAAATTCTGTAAATCGTTAGTGGATATTTTTTCTTCCGCGTCTGTAAAATTTGGTGCAAGATTTTTATTTTGCACTGTCTTCTTTCTGACAGTGGATCTAGGTACACAAGCGGTAGCGGTTGAGGACTTTATCGCATAGTCATCCCTGCTTTGCAATTTCGGACGCTCAGGCAACTTCCTTTGTTCAAGGAGAGAATGACTGAGTTGATTGGTAGATCCACCAAATTTGTTTCTAGATTCATTTCCATCGCTAAGGGAAGGTTCGTTAATTGTTGAATTGGGCATAGAGTTTGACATACGAGTATTCGCCTGGTTCATGCCTTTCGAGAGTTTCATTGGAAGGTTCGATAGCGTTTGTGAATATAACATACCGTCATCAATAAAATACTGGATTCGTATGTGCTGGCACTTTTCCCTATCCTCTCCACTTAAAAAACTTGGCAAATCGTATATCTGAAATACAGTTTAAATTTAATTTAACGTGTTAATCTATAATACGGTACTAGCTTAACCCGCATACTATGCTGTGGGAATGAGACTTCTTATAATACACAGATGTTACTAAATCGCAGTATCATAACTGCGGTATCTCGTTTCTTTGCCTAGTAATTCTTTACTGAGTAGAAGATTGAAAGGCATTAAATTTTGAACCATCATAAGACCGAAGGTAGTGAAAGAAGCTGAAATAATATGCGCACTGTAATGCTGCAGATGTGCAGTATGTAACAAATAACGTTAATGAAGTCTATATATGTATAATTAAAACGTAGTTTTATCACAATACTAAGATGCAGAACTGTAACCTAAAGTAATGTTATCAATCAATCAATCATATTAATGTGCTTGTACGTGGTACATGCAGTTATGGTAGACTGAAAAACCGTAACGAAACGTGGACACTTTATACTATCACACTTAACTAGCTTAACGTCCTACTTATGCATTTTATTGATGAGTACAGTGGCCTATTCAATAAATTTATGAAGTTATGTATTATGTTTAAGTATTCACTGTCAGTGTGTGTGCTGTAAGATGAATTTGTTGTATTCAGTATTTGTACCCTACTTGCAGGCAATTACACAAACTTCACTGCATCCTAGTACTAGAGTCGGGTCAACATACAGTAGAGTCGGGTCAACATACAGTAGAGTAGAGTCTTGAGGACTAAATCATCAAAGAATGAACAATTTAAGATCGGACTCGAGAAGTTCAGAGCGCCTTATACTGTACGTATATGTAATTATACTGTATAACATACTGAGTACAGTACATACCATTTCCATAGAAAATATGTCGCCCAATTTAGTGAGAAGTTGAACATTCCTGGGAGGGTTCTCAGTAAGGTATAAATTATCATTGCTTAGAACGATGTATCGAAAGACGTGTTTTTCACGATCCGAGACAATAACACAAGGTTCAAAACTTCTTAGCGTTTCGTATTCGTTGGGAGGTAAGTTACGTTTTAAAAAGGCATCGACACGATGATTCTTAGGGGCCATCACACGACTGCATTCCAACTACTGTATTTATCCTACCACTTGGTAAATTCCATTTGTAAAGTTGTTTATTTACTGTTAATTACAAGATCATTACTTTGCATACTTGTCATACGTGTGTACAGTACAGTACAGTACTGTATTAACATTGATAGAAACGTTTTTACTGTTAAGAAAAAATAGGACTTGCACCGTTATACGGTAGCGTACAATTACAATACTGTACAGTACTGTACTGTACTATGCTTAGGTGCTACTGTACTGTACACTACTGTACACTGTACAGTATAACCCGTTTGTTTACACTTTACAGTATTGTAGTTTGTAGATATACTGTACTGTACTGTACTGTACAGTGTGCAGTACTAATGGTTGTGCCATCATGAATCATGATCACTAGAGACAAATGGAAAGATGAGTTTGTCGCCTAATTTTTAACAGTATTCCAGTGTACTGTACAGTATATGAAGTGTTGTATGAAGTGCGTACGTAAAGATTGGAGTGAAATCGATAGAGACGACGGGCGGCTGAATACTGTACTGTACAGTGTACAGTACTGTATAGTCAGTACTGTACATTATACTGTACTGTATTGTCTACAATGTAAACATGAGTGATGGTTCGCATCTCCATCAAACGGGGATGCGATTGTTGGTTGTTCCGTACTGTACAGTACAGTAAAATACGGTGGCCGAGAGAGGCCACTACTTCACACTGCACTATTCCTCCACTGTACAGTATAGGAAACCTCAATGCAGTATAATGGAAAAAGATTTCGAAGGAAAGATCACTGAAGTGTAAGCAATATTCTTATTCAATGCAGATCCGTAATCTTTAGTTTAGTTGATGCTTATGATACTAATTGATAACAAGATGTAGAGCACATCACAGGGGTGGGGTGGCTTAGCCTACTACGTGAGTGCAAAAACTACTGTTCTGTAAACGCCAGAACAAAACTGATAAAGCTGTGTGCAATACTTATTGCTATATCAGCTGCAAAATGGCTGTATTGATGTGTAAAATATACTCTATAATAGATTACACCGCATAGTCGGAAAAGTAATGTCATTTACCATATAGGAAACTTTAAAATATAATTAATTTCGTATTTTTCGTACGTCAAAGTTCATTTAAGACCGTTTATAGATTAGCTCATGATATCGAGCAGTTCGGTGCAGTGTACAGTACAGTATAGTGTATTCGCTAATAAAATATAAAATATTTAGGCTTTCTGTAGCAGCACAATTTTCAATACCAACAGCAATGGGTGATCATTGGCAGACGAAATAACTTTCTTGAATGATAAGGAGTGTTTTTTTATTCTCAAAATTTATCTGCTTCTCTCCTACCGTAATATAGAGCAAACGGAAAAAATGTCACGGGAATCGTCTGTTCCGATACTCAAGGAATGTGCCTAAAAGGTATTTCCTTAATACTTTTTCACACTGCATATAGGGACTTTAGGTGTTAGTTATCCTAACAGTTATCAGTTACATTCTGTAAATTGACCGTTTCTAGACTAGTCAAGGTAAACTATCTGCTGCACTCATTTACTAATGCAGAATGCAGTACTTCATTGCTTATACGAACTCTAGTATGTTTAGCTCCATGAAGTGTTTGTGCATAGCTTTAGTAACGTGTTGCCATCCGAATGCCTCAGCTAGGGGAGTCTGTTCTAAGAAACAAGCTGGAGTTGTTACTGCTATAATCGAAAGAGCTAAAGAATTAGTATCGGATACCCGCACTAGTAGAATAGATCCCATTGTTATTGTGGAATTTCAATCAAGGTATGTTACTCTGTGTCTTGCATTTACAGCAGATTGTGGTTTGTGAGCGTATCTCTTGTTCTTTAATAAACTGGCTTTGACAGTTTAACTGTGCAATATTTTTTAGGACGATTCACTTTAAGTATATGAAAGCGATCACTATGGCTGTTCATGAAAATATTTCTTAAAAGTTAATAATATAAAACATAATTCTAATTTAACAGACAGTTAGCCTATGCTATAAAGTGCGAAATGGAGTGATATTATATGACATCGTAGATGCATAAATCTATATGTATTGTACTGTATTTACAATCTAGTGTAAAATCTAATCAAATTTGCAGTGCTGTATAATGAATACCGGTGCTATGCCTAGCTAATACGAAATATTAGTCTCTGAAAGTTCGGATGTTCTTTCAATTGTAATACGCTTTGATCGTAGAGACTACAAATGTCCTCATTTTGCTGAAGGGTCAACATCGTAAAAGGCTGCTGCGTTGCCGTATTAAAGACGATATGTTAATAAATGAATATTTTATCTGATTTCTAACCTAAAGAAACACTGTACTGTACCAGTCTGTACATAAGATGACTATATCTTCATGAGAAGAAACACCTTCGCTTAGGCTTACTTTGGCTACTTCAATTGGAAGCTTATTACGCATATCGGCTCATTATGCACTACTCCTAGGATTTTAGTTTCTATTTACAGTTAGTCGCATAAATAGAGTATTCACATATAACATGCACTCAGAATTTCAAAACTAAAATTTAACTTAGAAGATTTTTAATGAGAATATAGTCACTATTTACAAGTATAGTTACAGAAGTACGAGTATATTAGGTACTTTCCAATCTCTAGTCAAATTTGGTGGTCAAGCTCATTGATAATTATAATGAATACATATAATTAATAGAATTTTAAAAGGAATTAATTCATAGAATTCTACCTTAACATACGTAAGCTATAAACGGTGTTAAAATAACTGCTACGGTTAAAAATTTCACCGTTGAACACCATCAAAATATTTCAACGCAGTATTTGTATGCCTAGAAACTATAAATCACTAGTTCGATAATGTACATAGCATTACGTATTTGTTAAAAAAACAGTACTGCACTACTGCGTAAGGAATATAGTATAGTTACATCAGTAGAGATCGCCATAATGTACGATTAGGAATTAATTAATCCAACATTGCTATTGAAAATATCTATTACTCCTGTCTAATAACAATAAATTTTACCACAGATTAAATACTAAATGCATTGTTCTACTAGCCTTTAATGACTGCAATTGGTCGGAGTTTAAAGCACTTTTTGCTGATACCAGCTAAGTGACCTATAAATGATCAATTAAATAATTTAATTTAATGAATGAAGGCAATACTAAGTTATTAGATATGATATACACACGTACAAGTTTCTACAACATTTGTAACATCCTTGTAGGACTCTGGAGCCTAATAAGATATGCTAAAATTATGTATCTTTTAAAGGGTATCTACTTAAATATGTTATCAATTCATTCAATGACAGTGAGTAAAATAGGAGAAATATCCAACTTTCTTAAAATATACCATATTTCCGTGTTTCAAAGTTGTAGAATACTTACCTCTTCCATGACAAGCTTTGGTGACGCTACCCTAATGGATATTCCGGAGGCGTTCAGTCGATCTAGTACTTCTTGATAATTTAAACTGCGTCTATAGTCATTCATTAGTAAATCAGTCGAACGCGTTTTTTATGATAACTGATTAAAGATAAAATCCTGGATTAAAAGGTACACACAGCTTCATCTATATCCGTCATAATTCTTACGTTGCCATGTTTACAAAACGTTAGAGTAGAAGCATAATAATGACCTCTACGCTTAATTATACCATAAAATATTGTTTGTAAATAGCTTCTAATGAAGGTAAGCAATCTACTGGTAAATTATTGCCATTATTGTTCGCTAGAACAATGATTCCTATGTCATTATTATAACGTGTCACTCAAAACAACATCTGTGCTGTAAAAGTTTATAACGAATACACTGATTATTACTCTAAGAAATTGTTAAGAGAAAACTGTGACGGGACAATCATTAACGCGACGTATTGCTTAACACGAAATCTGCCCTGTAAAAAGTTTATACATTAATTATTGTTAAAGAAAACTGATGGAACTATTAATATAACAACTATATCCATATCTATATCTTGCCAAGACTTTGCTGAAGCTACTCGCTAGTGTTCATAACTTACCTAGCTTTTGCTCGTGAAAGAGCGCGACCCTATAGTTATGCGAACAGAGAAAAGTTTACAAATTCATATCATATACTGGACAGAAGTTCACAGTAAAGGCTCTAGTTTTTACCGCTCCATGACACGTGGTTCCGTACGTTTCCGACATTCCTTGGCTTGTTCCAGTCATCACAAAACTGAAAATGATATTAACTTTTAAATCGACAGCTTATCCAGTTAGCATAAACTTAGAATTTTAACTACCTGCAAGTCCCCATTGTACCTCCAATCAGGACAGGTTGTCCGGTTAACTAAGAAATATTTGAAAGTTTAGGACTAGAAAGTAGAGCTTTCAAATTCACCGCTGGTAAAACTGTTAGCAATATCGATGTTAAACAGACCTGATAGTCAACAGGAATTAAAGGGTGATGAGGGGGAAAAGCACGTGTAGATCCTTTGCGATGGACAAGTAAGGTACTTAATTTGCCATTAACAACGTGCTCTTCAATTTTTGCAATATTATGCGATACATCATAAATGACATGCATATCTAGGTCATCAGGCGTAGTATGGAAACATTTTGCAAAAGCCTAAATCATAACGCAGAGTTCATTATGCCGGTCAATTGATATCTTATACATTGTCTACTACTAACAATAAATTATATATTTAAGGCAATGACTTTTAAAAATGATATATGCATATCCAGGCCATCAAGCGTAGCATGGAAACATTTTTCAAAAGCCTAAATTATAACGCCTCGCTCGCTATGCCAGTTAATTGATATCTTAGGCGTTTTCTTAAACGTTTTCCACTACTAACAACAAATTATATATTTATTTAAGGGTTATCGCTTTTAACCTGAATCGTACCTGACGAGCTAAGAAAGTCATACTAGATCTGTTCACCCAAGCATAATTAGCAGCCGCAGCCATTCCCTTGAGGTAATTTTGGCCTTCATCAGAAGCAATGCGAGCACAGGCAAGCTAAGGTTGCATTTAATACATGTATGAAACACGTAAAGGTTTCATGTTATACATTTTCAATCGACCTTAGAATTTTTAAAATGGCAAGACGAGTAAAAACTGATACACTGTCTGAACAAATAACCTGTCTGTCATTAACATTAATGCCATCTTTAATCATTGCTTTCTCCATGTTGAATAGAGCATCTACATTTAGGCATAAAATAGCGCGAGTTACTTTCGAATAAGAAAGTAATTTGTGAATTCTCATGTAGTCACTAACCAGTGGCGACCTGATGTCCCAAACCACGACTGCCGCTGTGTACCATAATACAAATCTATTAAATGTTTGCAATTGAATTGTATTTCGTTATCTGAATTATATTCCAATAACGCAAACGTCTTCATTTACTGCATTATTTCATATATTTAACATATAACCTGTCCTCTGCGATTTATTCCCATACTTTTGGCTGCGAAACTGTCATAAATTTCATCCACTGCCTGAATTTCAGCATAGTGGTTCCCAGCCCCAAGTGTTCCCAACTGCAAGATTACCATGACAGTAATATTATAGAACATAACAGTAAGTAAATAATGTAGTACCTTCTGAAATAATCTCGTCAAACACCTGAGGTAATCCGCGCTTTTTTGCTCTTAAACTGATCTTGTTTGAATCTGCCTGAAGCATTCTTCCATATTCTTCGCAGTGTTCTTTATCTTCTGCCCAAGCATACCCCTCACGCAACGACCAGTCCATCCCCATTTCTAATGCCTCATCCAAATCCCTAGGCAGGAAATTTAATTTGTTATTAGGAAGAGGCAATGGCAACCAAATAAATTCTGATAACCGCTTAGCGATGCAAGGTACGTATGTAGTTCGTACGTAAATTAAGGTATGATTTCATATCACTATGAACTTTATTTGAGTAAGCTCAATTCTGCAGGGTAAGGCATTACGGAGCAAATGTAAATAATATTTGGCATAATGTGTTATTCCCCAGGATAATGTATATAACCGCTAAATCTTAGAGGATACATAGGTAAGATTGTTCATTTCTACGGTACACCTAATACACAATCCTAGATTTTCATTAACTCGCATTTTACTAACACTATGAGAAACTTTATAATTTTATGATATTCATTTTGGAGTACATAAATTTTACCTTGCGTTCATTGGAATTATGCCCCTTGATCCGACACCGACAGGAATGTGATCAAAAAGTGACTGTTGTTTATAAATGTTAAGTATTTTACCAAATTGTGTTTAACTTATTACGATACTTTGAGTAATGTTTCGAAAATAATGCTTTACGATATTTAAGGTATAAGATTATAATTTCATTTATTTTTCGATTCGTATTTGGAGTACTACCTGAGCTAAAGTTTCTTTCATAGGGTTGACGTCTCTTTCATGTAAGTTGGTTCTGATTAACCTTACACCACAGTTTATATCAAAACCAACTCCCCCTTATAGTTTCGATGAGTATAATCATTAATAGTAGTATTATAAAGGCTTGGAAATAGATTAGGTATATACTGTACGATTGTAAAAGTCTGTAGAAGTAAATTAAAAGTAAACTTGCATAGGTTTTCATTAATCTATTTGCTAGTAAACTAAACTTAAATATACATAATTTTATATTGATGTAATAAGTATACCAGGAGAGACAATAGCTTTCGGATTAGCAACGTCAAATGCAGCAATATTACCTAGAAATCATTTGACGAAATATTAATCCTGTAATCTAGCAATCAACGCGTCAGCGTAGTAGGCATCAAATGGAATCAGTCATGTTATACATTGAATTTTTAAATTATATTGATACTAGGCATTGGGATTTGGTTTGCAGTCCTAAGTTTGCAAAGCATGGAAGATATTGATCTGCCTTCGTAATTAGTTACAGTATGTAATACAATTACTTCATTTTACTGTCGTATCTTTATCTACGCATACTATGCTAAATACAGTTTAATACAGCACTAAACGTTATATATGTAATAACTGCAATTTGGCTTCGAAAAGGCATATCCATGAGTTAGCGTGTACCAGATTGTATTTTCAATTAACAGTACAACTTTTAGATAGAGACATATAGATAATCATTTAACACTCAACATTTACACTATATGAGGCCAGGATATAATATAATTGGTAACTGCATTATTTGTTACTAGATAAGTGTATAGAGTAAAAAATTTTCGGTAGCGATATTTTTACATGCATAAATTGCTATTGCAGAAAAATACTTTGTGAAGGGTTTGCTTTAAAGCCACAAGTTGTGCAATTAATCGCAAGATTGTCTAATACAGAATCTTAAATAGAAAACGTTAATCTTCAAGTATTACATGGTCTTTCTTATCTACTACTACAACAAAGTGTTCCAAGAATTTTTTGATCAAAGTATTATCCCTAATATCGAAAGGCGAATTAACAATCATACCTATAGCGAATCCGTAGCCGGAATGAATATCAGGCAATCCAATTGATTTCTATAAACGCAAATGAAACTTGTGTATTAGTTATCAATGTAATTCAATTAAAAAACAAGATGTTATCTATGCATACCCCTACAATTCCAGGTAATGCAGCAACATTTCCTATTTGCTTTACACCAGGCAAGAATCCGCCCACGCCTGACGAGAGAAAATCAAGCTTTATAATATCTTCACTCTTTCGAGATAACTCATGAAAATATTGCTGTAACTCATATAACTAACTTTTATTCCTGCACATTACTACTGCTTGCGAAGATTTTTAGGAACTACACGTATAATAATAAAATGGTAAAATTAATACCATCGGCAAATATGAATAGTTTTACGTCGAACATCGCAGGCACAGAAACCTTCAATATGTTATCCAATTTTGAGAATTTCTGTGCGTGTGGTGTGTAATATAGAATTTTATTTGCCGATGGTATTAATTTCCCCTATAAACTTTACGCCACATATTTTAATCGTATGATATGCATATACAATATAGTAAATAACTGTACTGTAGCTTGTACGCACGGTAATATTTAAAGTTAACCATAATACTATATATCAAAGGGTGAAAACTTAAAATTTTACAGCCACACATTAACAAATTATGTCTAGAATCGAATTGTAAAATACTTTCAGGTCCAACGCATTCGAAAGAATATCTACTTTTCAAGTTGATTATTCTTGATGACATATGAAATAAATTACAGTATATTCCAAAATTATCTCTCACGATCGATCACAGTATAATGTATAAACTGCAAACATTAATTACACTACATCTAAAATGTGAATTTAATTTAATATAGTCTTTACAAAAAGTGATGTGCCGGTGATTTCGTACTATAAACACACAATGTGCTAGTGATATTGATTTTTCTAGCGATTTGCGCTGTCAGTGATGCTATTGAATTCGTGACACGTGAATACTGTACGCTTGTCTTGACATCCCTTTCTGTACCTTGCATGCTACTTAGTACTTACTGTATCTCAATATTAGATTAACTCAAAGGAATGAAATTTTTACAGTTTGAGTTGAGATAAGTTACTAACAAAGCGGCAATGAGTTTGCGTTCTATTAAAGAGATACCTGAATTTACGTGTATGTTTCGCAGTAATTCACTCAAAGATTCGCATTATCAATGTCAATACTACGCTATTAAATACCAACAACCTGGGTCTGCGTAATAACTTATATCGTATGTAATACGGAAAAAGGATAGTTATCCATATTCAGTTTTGAAGATCCAGGTAACGTACCGTTGCAGGAACAGAAATGCTGCAATTCTTCGAACATCAAGTGCTCTAAAGGTAGGTCTGCGTAAAATAATCCTTCTACCTAAAAAAATTAAATATATCATTAAATAGTACGTCTACGAGTAGTTCTATTTACGTCGGACTCATTGATTCATTTCAGAATTATTAGCAACTTACTTCATAAAAATATACACACACTGCGTCGATAGTACTTACTTAGATATCTCTGATGTAATGCAAATGTATAGTATGTATGTTGGTAGCCATTGACATATCTAACCTCAAGCTGCTGAGCAACTTTGTTGAGCCAGGGACTTCTAAGAGAAATTCTCTTATTAGAACCCTGGTTGTGCGTACGAGCAGTGTGCGGCTTTATTGATGCATTATGAGAACACACAGTATGATGCAGCGTACGAGTATTAATAACAAAAATGAAATAACATTTAGTCGCAAAATGTTCGTCTTACTTTCATATTTGGAACAAAGCCTAACTTGATGCGGTAAGAGTAATCATTAATTTTTTCTATAAAGTTTAGCTCTTCCTGATAGCTGCGATTTCTGTTCAGTCGTTCCATTGTCGCAGAGATTGATCACATTCGCAGCACTCTACTAGTGTTACAGTACAGTACTATACTTTACACTGTCATGGAATACTAAATACTGTACTGTACTGTACACTGTAGTCCATGACACTTTACTGTAGCCGGCAGTAATAAAACAGGAACAGTAGTTTCTGTAAAAGTGTACACTGTACAGTGTACAGTACACTACTGTAGCACGGTACTGTACTGTACTGTACAGTACTGTACAGTACAGTACAGTAGACCGTTCAACTTGATTTTGATACGTTTCAGCATACAGTACAGTACTATAGAATTCTGAACGTCCAGTTAAAATCTGAACGGTCTACAGTACAGTACAATACAGTTTCTGATAGAGTACTGTACTGTACAGTACTGTGTAACTAGACGTCTTACCGTATCTTTCTATGGACTGTATCTATTGAAAGCTTTTCGACGTAAGACTTCAGCAGATCCGTCAGACTTTGTGACATTTACTGAGCGCTAAAATCAAATCAAAGTAGTGATTTATTTTCCTTACTTGATGGTGCACTTATACGAATCAGACTAGAATTACAGTAGTTTAAATAACAGCAACAAGAGTTCATCAGGATGATCATTCCAATTAGATGTTTTACCTGCGGCAAGGTGATAGGCAATAAATGGGAAGCGTACCTTCATCTTTTACAAGCTGAATACACAGAAGGAGATGCTTTGGATGCTTTAGGCCTAAAAAGATATTGCTGTAGACGAATGCTTTTGTCTCACGTGGATCTGATAGAGAAATTACTAAACTATACACCTTTGGAGAAGTAAATTGGCTGACTGAGTAGCCGAATTACTTAGTAAAATAGAATATTTCTGATCTTAACAAGGAAGCAAAAAAGACTGCAGTAGCCATTCCTAATTGTAACTCTACGAATTATGCACCGTACTCGTACACTGTACGCTAGAACATAGATAATGTATTATTATGTTATTACGTTATGGTTTTGTTCGCAGAAATTTAAAGTATTATATGTACTATGATATATAATCATTAAATTATTTTGTAATACTAAAGCGAGATAGCAGTAGGATTATTCGGCGATTAGTATCTTAAAAAGTAAATGCAAATTCGTAAGGTCATTATAATGTCGGAAAGATTGCACAGATCAAAAAATGTTAATGCATTGCTTTATGTTCTCTTTTATTTATAATACGGTATATCATGATAATAGATATCATTATACAGTATTACTTTATAATCTAGCTTAAATTAGTTATTTACGACTATAATTTAATAAAACGACGTGAAAACAAACATCAACAGCCATCTTAATTAAGACCTGCAGATGAGCGATAGTAGTCCTTGAAATGGTACGATATTCCATACTTGTTGCTAGTACGTACCAGTATGCAGTGTTATGCTAGCTTGCTAGGGACGCTTCGCCGTGCAGATTACTTAGCGTTATACGCCTATCGCATTCATTAATATGTTAAGACTGTAAGAGCAATTTTGGCGTGGGGCTTTTCTGAATCAAGATTGAATTCTATATTTCTATTATGCTATGAATTATTGTCGCAAACGGAAAAACACTGAAATGTAGACAATTACTGAAACTATGCAACCAATGCAAGTGTGCACTCTAGTACAGCAGTACTGTTGTTGGTTCTTTTCGCTACAGTACCAATTTTGACGAAGTGATACTTTAACACGAGCGCATGAAATTTTAGAACATATCATGCAAGTATACATAAACCATAAGCACAACTGTAGTATACTGCACAATACATACATTCTGTACTTGTTTCAGAGATCAGTAGTTGTTATCTCAGTTTTTTAGTGTTTTTCGGCGATCATAATTGTAATTTTGATTGTTAACAGTAAATACGAGTAAACATGGTCTGAAACCGCATTCTTCTAGTGGTCCATGGTGTATTACGTGTTACGTCAATCGAGAGATTTAGTTGACACGTGTTCGATATTATCTGAAAGTGACTGCAAACGGTACTTCAGATTTAAAATTTATATTACAAGTACGCTTATCTTGTAGACTCAATTGCATAAATAAAGTATATACGCGTACTGTATATCTATCACCTATTGCGTATTGGCTACCGAACTCAAACTAAACGTTCGTATGTGTCGTTCCTCAAGCATTTTGATTCGACGATATAGTCAATTAAGTAGTTAATTTTATAGATTTAGAATAAATCTTAGTTTAATCAATATCAAGCTGCTGGGCTGGGCTAAACAGAAACCTGTAACAAAAGGAATTGTTAGAGTATCTAGAAAGGCATACTCTTGCTGCTAAAGATAATTTTTATTAACTGTTGAGTACAATGTTATAAATAAACTTTAGGTGCAATATTATACTCGTACGGTATATTTTGACATATATATATATATATGTATATTATTGGCCTATTCTGTAATATAATAGCAAATATTAAAAACATTACTAATATTAATCAGACAGAAAAATCCTTTTTAATGGCAGTGTAGCTATTGCTACTAAGAGCACTCAGTTAGATTAATAAGTCACGGCAGTGTCTCTCGTTAGTATTAGAATGATATGTCAATTATAATTACTGGACTTATATTCATTCCCAATCTTCTGTGTAAGAGCAACTCTACATGAAGGGATTTTTAATGATCTTGCAACGTTGACTGTACCAGTAAAAGCCACGGCTGGTGCAATATGTGTACGAATAGATTGATATAAAAAAAATTTGCAATTGTGTTTACACTCTGCATCTTCGATTTAGAGCTTAAAACAGCAGCGAAAGATAATTTAGCATGATTATGTATTACATTGGTAATTATTCCAACAAACCTTTTCTAAGTCTTGTGCTCGTACGGGATGGTAACAGGATACTGATACGGTTAATCTGTATAATAAATTGATCAAGAATTTGTATTAACGGTTATTACCATTTCAGAATAGCAAAAGTCATCATCTACAATTGCATTACGTTAGCAGCTGAATAAGGTCGAATTTGTAGATGAAACTTCACGGTCTCTTTCTGCCAATTAAAATCATATAGCTTCCGTTAAGTAACGTTTGCATTAACTCGTTTCAAATTTTATAGTTCAAACCTGCATCTTTACTTTCAGGGTACAACATTCGTTAATGCTCATCTTGTGATTAAGTAAGTTCTTCACCTCTAACTAATAGAAAAATACATCGGCAGTAACTCAAGTAAAAGTTAAGTTTAACCTACATTTACAGTATACTAAAAATGCAATTTTACGTTTCATACTTTAGCTGGCAAACGTAGTAGAAAGAGCTGATTATTTTTATTGCCAATATCTTCTAAAAATGGGTTAGATGTGATTTCTAGCTGACGCTTATTGCTGTAACCATTCGAAAAGAAATTGCATTAATTAGAATAGCAAATTAATTACTGCTGATAATGTATTAGTAATGATTTTCATTGTATATCATATACCTTTCGGTACCTGTTGATAAATCCTTTTTACCACTTGATAAATGCGGACGCGGCATTTTTATCTGTTATACTTGTAGTAGTGTAATAATTGTAAGCTAACGATTAAAAAAATGGCTCGTGTTCTCAAAAGCAGATCAGCTGCACACAGTAGTTAGGGACTCCATGTACAGTAGTCTGGGTTCAACTTTTGCTAATCAAATTTGATTAATGGCTTCTAAACTTCTCCTACATACTGTACTGTACACTTCTATACAGTACACTTGTATACTGTACAGTACTGTACATGTACAGTGTACACTGTACAGTACTGTATACTGTATACGGTACAGTAGTTCCAAGTCACTTCCAACCAGTGTCCTTCTCAAAGTCAACCCCAAACCCGACTCGAGGGAGGGATTCGGGTTAAAAATTTCTATGGTGATACAGTGTTTATATAGCGATTGCGCTCATTTCGGATTAGAAAATCAACAATTTGATCGGGTTCGGGTTACGTTTTCACTCCATGGCCGGACTCTGCTATGATTCCAACTTTCAGCATGTGTAACTTTGGATAGTTGTTATTTCTGAATTGCTCGCGGTTACACAGGTACATATTAGGTGTATACAAGACAATTGCCGTACTTCATTTGCATATGCACCTACATTTAAAGGTATTTCAGTATTTGCTACTTTACATGGAATCTTTCACGATCCTTGGACGAGTTGGAGAGGGTGCTCATGGTGTAGTTTTCAAGGCGAAGCACGTTCAGGTGAGAGGAAAGTTCTAGGAAACTCTGAGTGCGAGTATACAAATAATTACAGTACTGTAAGTTTCCTCAACGATCTTCTGTCATATTATAATTATTAAAATGTGCATCTTAGACTGTGGTCTAATGCTAAATCTTACCATCAATCTGATTTTCTCCTGAAAACAATCTAAATCCTATTTTATTTGTTGCTGGGTGTCAGGATGACGGCTTGTTATACATTTCGAATAGAACATTTAATGTCTAAGTTATAGAGGCGCATATTCCTCCATCTACTGTATACTCACTCACTCGCTGCAGTGATTAACTAAACTTTTAATCAATTGTACAGAGCGGAGAAGTTGTTGCTTTAAAAAAAATTCATTTAAAGAAAATAGATGATGGTATCCCAAACAACATTTTAAGGTAAGCCTTACACCAATAAATCCCTTTTTGTATTCCTAGAGAGAACTATTTAAGTTGTATCGCGAGCGAAAGTCTAGGTGGCAAATGATGATACTACAGTGCCACCGTGATGTGTCCACTGCCTAGTTCTGTATACTGTAATTAAGGCCTAGGTTTCATTAAAGCTGTCTATTTACTGTAAGTCCAACATTCGGGGTGACTTGTATTAAAGATTCGTACTTTTAATGTATAATAGAATGGATAACATAAAGGGATATATAGCACAGTTAAAATTACGGATTGTTAATTGCAAATTATATTTTATCGTTTGTAGCCTATGAAATGAATATCATTGTGATGTTGAGTTCGAATTCTACGATGTTTGACAATTGATGAAGTATAGCAACTGTTGTTTAGCTATAGAAAAATTAATTTTAGTTACTAAATAGGGAAATTAAAACTCTGCAAGCAATTACAGAACACGAAAACGTAGGTATTCGTTTTAGCAAACACGTTCGCAATTGTGTAATGCATAGGTATATTGCGTACGTTATATCTTTATATTGAGCATAATCTTAGCGGTGGTCAGCTTACAAGTCAATGTTCTATAAAACGACGATTACGGACAGAGTCATCACTGGTAGATTTTATGTTGATGTATAAGTATTTCCGCTGATGCTGAAATTAAATGTTGTAGCTGTTTCTCTACATTAATGTAGCTAACGCATGTAAGATAGTGTTTTTAGATACAGTAGTACAATAAAATACCTTTCAACTGATTTCGGTAATACTTATATTAAACACTACTTTATTACAATTTGTTTTATAAAAATTAAAAGTTAGCCATGGATGCATGAAATACTAGACTATTTAGCCTAATTTCTAAAACGCACTGTACAGATTGTTCGGCTTTTCGATGTTTTCCCGGACGGCAGTAGCCTCGTACTCGCCTTCGAATACATGGTTACAGATTTGTCTGAAATACTACGAAGCTCGCAGAATACGTTACCAGAAGTAAGTAGCTAGTTAACCTAATTTTAGATTTAGGATAAAGACCTTTTATATGAGAATTTACATTAATTAGAAATTATTGCTTTTTAGCGTTAGACTTTGTTTATAATAGCCTAAACGTTACATTCTGTTCTAAATCAATTAAAGTCTCATGTTAAGAGCTACATGATCATGCTATTGAGAGGAATCTCATTTTGCCACGAAAATCATATCATTCATCGGGTACGGAAGTGTTACGATACGTAATGCTATTTTTTTAAATAAATTGCAGTACGTAAAAAGAGGGAGATTAAAATAATTACGGTATTCTCTTCTCACAGAATTTAGGTATTTCTTGCATGTTATGCATTGGTTATTTTAACATAGAAACTAAGTCATGGTATATACAGTAATCGGCATTATTGCTTTTACGTAGGACCTTAAACCGGCCAACTTACTTATTAGTTCTTCTGGTCAATTGAAGCTTGCTGACTTTGGTCTAGCTAGGGTTATGTCTGTAGAAAATGAAAGGCTCTACAGCCACCAAGTCGCAACGAGGTCAGTGATTTTTAATGTGATATTTTAAGCCGAATCAAATTGCACGTAATGTATTGTATGTGACAACGTGCCCGAGTTTGTTTCCCGTTTAATTAAGTCTCTTTGAGGGAATTATAGCGTTGAAATACTTATTTTGTGCCGGTTTATTTCCCATTTAATGAAATCTCTTTTTAGGGAATAATAGCTTTGAAATATTTAGTTTGTACCAATTAAAACCTATCTTGCAATTATCACTACAATTTGTTGTAGATGGTATAGGGCACCTGAACTTTTATATGGCAGCAGAACTTATGATGAAGGAGTTGATCTATGGTATTGTCTCACTATGTTCTGCAAGATTTTCAATATTTAAGTATTTCTTCTTCCTTTTTGTCTCCATCTTATATACGTTGAATGAGTGCAGGGCAGTAGGATGCATATTTGCAGAACTCATTAATAAATCCCCATTATTTCCGGTAATCAATAAAATATAATGTGTGCAAGTACTGTCTATAAAGTATATAAAATACTGTATATAGTTGTATATGTGTGTGTAATTCGAAGTTAAACTCATATTGCATTTATGCTTAACTTAAAGCTAATTATTCAATTGTAGGGGGATAGTGACATAAAGCAGCTGGGATGTGTACTTAGTATATTGGGTACACCAACAACGAGCACTTGGCCGGTATATTTATATCATATTTATTATTTGATTATTTATCAATGTCACTTTATCAGTGATTCCGTTTATATTCTGCTATTTAGGGATTAATTGAGCTTCCAGATTATAACAAAATTACATTTTCTGGTTTTCTTCCTATACCATTTGAAAGTATCGTTCCTGATGCTACTTCAGAAGTAGGAAAAATTAAATAACAAAAAGTTAAACTTTTTTCTGAATGTATTCTCCACCATCAATTGAGAAATCGAATATACTTATCAAGGCGCTGAATACTGTAGATTTCAACATTAATATATATCAGATTGGTGTAGCTCTGCTTTAGTTTTACCGCATTGATGCGTTTGCGACTACTTGTTATGTATTCATCAACGAAAATGGTAAAAGCTAAACTAATAAACTATGATATTCTTTATAATTATCTTAATAGGCGCGGCACTTACTAAAGCAATTCTTGGTATACCAAAGTAAAAAGAGGATATCCGCAGCAAAGGTTGTTCAGATGCGCATATTGAGTCTCTACTGTACATAGGAATTAAGTACCAGCTTCTGCACATTGTGACATTTTTAGAGTTTATAAGTTATAGCTTTTGTAGAAAAGTGTTATAAATATTTTCGCGTCACGGTTAGGCATTGGTACATCCTTACTTTTTAAAGATGCCATTACCTGCTCATCCTTCTGAATTACTTACGCCACATCGATATCAGTCCTTGATTCGAAATCAAAAGTTACTCGGAGCTAATGCTCTAAATCACGGAATTATAGAACAGTCTCTATTACCGGCAATCATGATAAATCGATACGAACGGGACCTTATGGAAGAAAGCTAAATTGTTATTAGGAAAGAGAACAATTCGTATCTGAACTGTATGACATCCCCGCAAGAGGTCCTGAATATTCATTGGTGATAAATCCAAGATGAAGCAGTATTAGATATGCGTAGGCTAATTATTTTGCTGGTCAATTTAACCAGGGTTTACTGGAACGGTACACTGCGGACTGTACTGTACTGTATTGCACACAATTGCCATCCGAATTAGTTTTCTGGTTGGTTTTTCTACGCGTTGGACTGAAAGGCCATTTCCCGCCCCTCTTAAGTAGTCCCTGACTGTACAGTACTGTGGAGTAGCGAGTGAATGGCTTGAGTTCGGTCTGAACTTCTTACTGCTTTTATCACTCATTTTGCACATATAATGCGGAAAAACTATGCTGTAATGTTCTATACGTAGCTGTTGCTCTGTAATTCATGTTATGTAAAATCTTGCTTAACGTCATTTAAAGGATGTTAACACAGCAAAGCTACCTAAGAATAACTAGACGTATAGCTTTCGGAGAATTACGAAAATTAACATGTGCGTTGAATTATTTTCTTTCAAGATCCGAGGCTGTGATGATTATGATTGTTACCATGTTGTTATATATGTCTTGATACACAATGTCCTTGTCTATTTATTACTGGTAAATTTTCCTTCTGGATTATCCGCATTTGCTGTTGATACCATGATACCATACAATGACGACGTACTGTAATCTAGAATACTGAACTCTTAAACTACGAGGCCCATTCAAAAAGTAATAGGACTGGTTCAATGTCTACGCAATGAAGAATGAATCCATACATTTTTTCAAAATTTCGATTTTATCACTATTCATGAAAACAATAAAGAAAATTTTTCCGATATCGGTAACGGTACGGATGTTACGGACTATACCACTATACTGTACAGTACAGTATAAAGACGGTGCCGCATCAGTATTTTCATTTCTCGCGAGCCAGGCTACGAACTATTTTAGAGTGTTTGGTCTCCGGTTACAAAATTGATTTGTAACAATAAGTAACATAGCAACAATTTTTAAGTCCCTTAATTAATATGGACTGACGAAACGGCAATTTAATTGTAAATTGTAAAGTAAAATGTATAATATAACGAGGAAGAGATCGAGTGAGAAAAGTACTGTACATCAAGCCTCGGGACTGACCATAAGTACAGTACAAAGTGTACACTCACTGTCACTGAACATACTGTAGATCCTTCAGATTATAACTGGATGTTCAGAATTTCTATGCTCAAACGATAGTATTTACTTCCTAAGAATTCTGAACGTCAAGTAAAAAAACACTAACTGTATAATAGTAGCTGTACTACAGTACTAGAGAGGACCTTCACTGTACCATACTGTAGTGTCGGAATCAGAGGTAAAACCTCTAAACGGTACTGTACACTTAACACTATGTACGGTACTGTACTGTACCACTGTATCATATTTCGCAGATTTAACAGTACAATACTATTCTATCACAAGGATCGAATCAACGCAGAGACAGTATTGTACATAATGAGGGACGAACTAAAAACAAACTACAGTACTGTACTTTACGTCGCAAGCAATAAGAAATTAAAGCAGTGAATTGTCGTAATAGAAGCACGAATGGAAATATGCAGAATATCTCACCAACTGAAAATTCAGCGAAGAATGACTTCGCCAATGAATATGGTAAGGCTACTTCGAAAAGTAACGTCGAATGTCAATTATGCAGCCAGGACGTTGCCAGTATCCCCAACGACTATTTAATGGAACTGGTAAATATTGTCTATCGAAGGTATATGTAAAAGTAGACGTGACAGTAAAAGTGTATAATTAGCGTTGATTGCACTGAAATCGTTTCTCCACAAGACTAGCTAATAAAATGTTAAATACGTGTATTTACAGTCTAGTATTTGTGATAATGCAATCATTGTGTTCTTCCTCTGACCCTAGAACAAACCTTGATGTGACAAAGGTCGAAGAAATAATAAGGATGACTTTAAACCATATGCAAAATACAATTCCATCATTATCAGGCACTTTACAAGTTATCCTGAATTCATCTTCTTACGTAAGCGGGACCTTCATATTACTATTACGATAATGTTATTTTGCAATAATGTGTACGATCAGTTAATACTGTAATTATACTCGTATTCATGCATAAAATCGACTAGTAATCAGTTACTTGTACAAGAACATTTCCCCTATCAAGATTAAACTCTTTCTCAAAGATATGACCGATTGACTATTACCTTAAATTTTTCATGTGTCCTAATTAGCTACGGTGTACCATTTTAAACATTACCATTGAGAGTCGTGTGCAGTATGCATCTGAATGCATATTTTTTACAGCTCTTAGCTTACTGTTAGCACTGTTCAAAGATTTTAGCTTCGTATGTTGGCATTCTTTGACTAGGCAAATACTAAAACCGGCTCTTCTAAGGCTTATGATAGTGCTCTATCTGGGACTTTAACAAAATTAAAATTTCATTTGAGTCATCAAGCTAAGAATGACATGAAAAAAGAGGATAACGATGTTATTCATGATCTGTTAGAAGAGTTACTTGACAGTTTGGTGAGTTTTGATCTCCTTTACAAATTACTCAAAATTTGTTTTAATTTGATACAGGTTGTCTGCCATTGCCCGCAGTCTATATTATTATAAAATTCCCCTAGCTCCAGATAAAGCTATTCTTTCAGACAAACTATCGGTTTTGTGTACTTTATGAATCTGAAACAGTTGAATAGCTGAATAATGTATATTGTTGTTTAGAATGTTGAAGATCCTGATGGATATCATCACTTAATCCAACAAGATGACTATCATATTATTCAAATTTTAGTTTCTTGCTTTCAGCTGGTAGGAATTTTTATTTTTTACTTCATATGCAATTTTACGCTAACAGAATTACCGTGTTTTATCTGTATTGTGTTACTAATATTTTCTATAGAACTACGCACCATCTTTGAAGCTGCTATTAGCCCAAATCTTTGGCGTAATTTGTTATACTATGAGAGATTCAACAACAATTTTACTACACAGTGTTCTACCGACAGAGCTGGGTCAGTTGATGCGTACCGAACTAATAAAAGATAGACCGAATATACAATTGCTTTCTTACTATTCCCTGCTATCCTCAATACTATTTGCTTCTGAAGAGTCGCTGCCAAGTTTTATCTACGGTAAATTTTATGAATGGTTATTTTTGTAACAAGGCTACAGTTCTGAACTTAGTTACAGCATATGTTAACAATCGGTGAAATATTCACTTTATCTTGAAATAGATGAATGGAATGCAGAACTAATAGAAATTTTATTGGAAAAGATCGAACGACCTCCTACAAATGATGATAGCGTACAACTGCCTCCATTATTTTTAAAAACCATTTTATCTTTCAATTTGCATATGAAAGGTTATAGATTTTGAATGCTTAATTAATTTTACAATACTAGCCATACATTTTATCTGCATTGATTGTACTGTAAAAGTAAAAACGTAGATTTGTTTATTGACAACCTGGAATATTTCACGATCTGGTATATACTTTTAAAATAGATTCCATACGAAATCCAGTTATAACTGCTTTACAAAATGGAATTACACAAGAATTCTGTAGCAGTCTGATTCTTTTGTTCAATAGAAATGGTTTGTTATTTAATCATGCCATACGATGGCTAATGTCGAATACTTGACGATTGCGGTGATAGTAGTTGAATTATGAGCTTCTTTCCAGATGATGCTTGATTTTGAGTAATCATTGCTTTATTTTTGTGAATAATAGTTGATCCTGTTGGTGTAACAGTATCCAATCAGAATCCTTCTGCTGTGATCAAAATGATGCTAGACATGTTTTCTAGCGAGGCAGTTGCTTCTGTCTTTTACACAAATGATGTTAAAGTGATCCTTGATATAATACTCCGAAATCTGACTGATTTACCTAGCGGAGATAGCGTAAGACTAATCCAGTCGATAAATTTTAATTTACTGAGCTGCATTTAAGTATTTTATCCAATTAGGGTCGATCTTGGAACCTTACTTTACTTAATAGAGTTGCTGCAATCAATATCACTTCTAATTTTTATCGCTCCGAAGAGTTCATCCCGATTCTAAGTGATTTGTACAAGGAAGAACCATGTTTTGATCGCGAACACATCGAAAAGCTCTGGCTGGATTTTCCTTCTTATTTTAGAAATTGATTGTAATGAGACGGTTATAACTGCAATGTATTTTCAATTTATTTTCTTTTAATTAACATACCACGTAGGAAATCGCATCTCTTACTTGATAGTTGTTTCGAAAACGCTTTATCAATTAAGTTAATAATTAATAAGAATACGATTTGAAGTTCGGTTGTATTTATTCCGTATATTCTCGGATATAGGATTCGAATGTGTGATCAAAGTATTTGATTGAGTAAAATTTTGATGCTAAGATTGTTTGATTTGATTTGATAGCACGCTATTTTTGTTGAGAAGATGCTGTAATTTGAGAGTAGTATTTATTAGATGTTTACAACGTGTGTACGCAACTCGGACAAGTATGTTTGCTACAAGTTTAGCAATTCACGCAAACATATTCCAGTAATTAATTATTTTGGATAGAATCTACTTAATCATAGCCACATTAGTATACAGTTTATACAGTATACAGTAATCTAGTTATATAAGTTTCTGCCCCTACTTACGGAGTTATATCATTCGCATGTTGTACTTTTGCTTTTCGTATCTCTGTGGTATATGTATACTGCTACAAAAAGCTCAAATTCTTGTATATGGTTATCCGTCATTGCATTACTTACTCGGATGGACTATTGGAAGTGAGTTCAGATAAGATGTAATATACGAATCGCCTACTACGTTAAATTCTTATTAATCTGATCAAAACTACATATGCAGCTAGATTAATTATTGTTACAAATTCATTCGTATATCGATAAAATCATTAGATGGAGTGATCTTTGATCTAGTGATTGGCACATCAACAGGTAAATAGACGAGCTTACTTTGCTTTAAATTGCAAACACTGCTTACTGTCACCATAGAAGTTATTGCGTGTTTAACTGCACAAGAGATGTTCCAGCACTGTTTTTTTAAGATTGAGATTAGTTGCTACATTAATTGTAATGCCTATATTTCACGAGGGCCATCGGAGTGTTTAAATACGTTTCACTGGTTGCTAATCATTCATGGATATATTCTATGCGAAGTCTGGTGTAAGTAAGCAAGTAATCTTACAAAAACTGCGGAACTATAGAGTTCATTTTAATTTAATATGAAGAACTGCAGCTCGTACGTACGATAATTATGTACCGAAATGCTCATTCTACGCATACGTTGTATGGATTCATGACTGCTGGAAAGATTCAATTCCGTATAACATAGCTTATATGTATGTCTTCCTGCTAAATAATTTGACTTTAGTATTTTAGAAAACTATTAAACTACTGATAGCTATCTTATTTACTGTATTGACGCTAAATTATCCATAAAAAATCCTTCCACCTCATTGTTAATTTTTGCTATATGCATCGTCATCGTTTCTGTATTAACACTAGCTCATTCCACTTTTTACAATCGTAAACATCTCTGGGTGATAATAAGAAGAGGAGATAGAATTTATCGATCACATATTTCATATTCTGTGTTTTCCTTGTTCTATATTAATTTTATAGTACTTTACCGATAACAATGTTGGTGTATGTTGTGAATATTCCTGAACTTTATCTTTTACTACAAGAACCTTTAATAAACAATTTGTGATTGATATTTCAGTATGAATTAAAATGCTTTCCTATGCGAGCATACCAGCCCGATTTATTGATCAACTTCCTATCAGCCAAGGATATCATTGCAGCTCATAGATTTATACTAGAAAATCAGAATCTTAGCACATCTATCATATTTCTACCCATGAGCAATGCAAATCATTAATTTAATTCTGACAGAACTTTAATTTAAAAAATAGATGTTTTTATTTCTTACTGATCTAATTTAGATCTTGGTTGGGTGTGTCTGCGCTTAATCCGAGTCTATATCAATTATTAATTATAAATATAGCCTTTTGTGAAATGATACAAACCGTTACAGTTCGAGATGTTTTAGGCAATTTTACAACGAAAGATAAAACGTTATGTATCTAAAGGTGAATAAATTCAACTAGTTAAAATAAATTTGTAAACTTTACTCTAAGTATCTCTAAATTTAATTTTTAATCATACTTTAGCTTAATCTCAAGAATAAATAATTAAAATTCGTTCAATAGAAACGCCAACAGTTACAATTGCAAATACGTTGAAAGAAAAAGCAGCAATGAAATTATTGTGCCAAAGCTTCGATCATATAAAACGTGTACGTTACACCGTAAATAAGCGCACATCCTAATTTTCATGCTTGAGATAAAGTTAGATTTAGACTCTCGGTAGTAATGAATGGGTCTGTAAATCCGATGCCTTTAGTGATTGGATCCTCATATCTTCAATTTCTAGTTTTAAATCTTCCAGTTGCTGAGTTAATATAATTTTTTGATTTATGGTACGAATTAGCAACTGATTTAGTACTTTCCTTTCTTTTTCTGCTTCGATTAAATCTTTCTGCATGCTATCCATTTTAGTTATATATTCTTCACATTTAATTGCAAAATCAGCCTTAACATTATGGTATGTTGTGTCCTTGCACTGTAAAGTTTCGAGAGAAGACTTTAATCCTGCATTATCGTTCTTCAGTTTTTGTATTTCCCTTTCGTATTTGCTTCGTATATGGGATATTTCGCTTTCGGTGGTGGCTTTACTTGTTTTTAGAATTAATTTTAACGTGGCTACTTGTTCGTTTTTGGCATCCAGAAGGGATTTTAATTTTTTACATTCATTCGTATTACCTGTTATAGTAATGCACACATTTTGAATCTCTTCTTTCCCATCCTCTTGCTTATTCCGCGTATGGTCAAGTAATAGATCAATCTTTAATCTAATATTTCGAACAAGTTCACAACATAGTGCCACTTTTCCTTGGCATTTTTTATTCTCGGATATTAAAACCGTAGATACTTCAGTTATTGGGACTTCGGTATTATCACTGCACTTTAATAATTCAAGATTTTTAAATTCATTATCAACTGCATCGAAGATAAGCTCTTGTTGACGAGGGCCAACAGTTGGTATACTCTTTAACTGATTTATAAATGTCTGACTGGTAGCGTCATTATATCTCAATATTTCGTAAATTTGCCTGCACAGAGCATCTACCTCGTCAGTTACACATAACAGTTCACATTGAAGATTATCCATAATTTCAAGATTCTTGGTAGAAAATCGGTATAGCTCTTTCACGCTTAGTGATAGCTTATTTATTGTAGATAGCTTTCTGCCCTCAATGTTTACGTCTTTTACATCTGCCTGGAGATCTATAACGGATGAATTCGTAAAGCAATTTGTGGAAGTATTATGTTTACCGCCAGAAGATGTCTCAGAGGATACATTTTTAGCAGTTAAAGGATCGACGTCGTGATCGGATGTCCAGTCATTCTCAAGAGTTTCTTTACCACTGAGTTCACCGTCTTCTCGATCATTATTATCAGCTTTACAGTACTCGCCTCCGGAAACGGAACTCTTACATGAATTGGTACGGTCGATACGTTCCATAGAGCTGCTGAAACTCATTGTGGTTGCGTAAGATTCCTCATCACTCATATTAGCATTCTTATTTGTTTGTAGTAATTGCTCAGCCGACCAGCTGATGTTACTTGCGGGTACATGCATTTGTTGCACTAGCTGGGTTTGTAATATTTTATTTTGATTGCGCTCTTCGTTTAATACGTTTAAGCATTCCTCTAATTGAGCTGAAAGTCGCTTATTATCATCATCAGTAGCCTTCAACTTTTGCAGTGTTCCCTTATAATCTAGTTTAACTTGTATTAGTTCATCTTGTAATTCCTCTACATTAATTTTTAATTTGTTTACACGAGATAATTGCCGTTGTAAAGCTACGTTTTCTTGTTCTAGTTCACTATTTAAAAACAATAGGCGCTCCTGCTCCTGATTAAGTAATTTAATTTCTTGTTGTAATTCAACTTTGTTAGCATCTAAGCTTTCAGCTTTGCTAATTAACTCCTTGTTCTGGGAGAGTAAATACTCATTTTCTACCTCAACTCCATGAGAAAGCTTCTTGTTGTTTTCGATCATTCTCTCAAGATTTTTAATTTCAGTTTGCAGCTCTTGTTCATGTTGCATGAAATCATATTCATGCTCAAATTCATAATCAATCAGCCTTTTACCTATTTTAAAACTGTGAAGCTCCTATGATGATAAAAACAACAGGTATGCATTAAAATATCATAGTATGCCTACTTTCAAGGGATGGGACAGTATAATACAGTTCGTGCTTCTATGTAAATTAAACCAAACTTTAAAATTAATTCTACAAAATTGGGTGCTTTAATGCTTCAGTTTACGATAGGTTACATAAAGCATCACCCCTGGAAAAATTTTCTAGAGCTATTATGCTTGAAGGCTAGATTACGTTAGTAAGATTTACTGACCATTGACATAACAAGATAAATTAAGTTGAATTAACCGTGTTTGCAATTTACAATACTGTATAGTATAAGTAAATTTGTGCAAGTAGTATAATAGAACACACACAATAATTGTCATTATACTATAGTTATGCCGAAATAGAACATAACCTGCTTCATGAACTCAAGTTCAGTCTCCATATCCTTGAGATGAGTTCGGAGCCCTTTATTTTCATCTTGTAGTGACTCTCTCTCGTCAGATATCGATTGATTATATAACTTTGCTTCATCGTAGGCTTGTTTTAGCTTCATTGCCTGATCTTGCCAGTATCGTGTAGTATGATGCAACTCTTCCACTATTGGCTCAGCCATAACAGCAATACTATTATAACGATGGTGCTTCACATACAAAAATGTGAAACTGGAAGTGAGATCTAAAATACGTATCACGTAGCTGTAAAATATAGTATACAGGCACGTACAGTATTGTTAATACGCAATACTGTACTTTTTACTTTATCGTCTTTTAATGGTACCGTAGTAATTTTAAGAAAGTTTAGTAAAAGTACGCGAAACTACTGTATACATGTTATTACTAACGTAATACAATACAGTATATAATTTCTAATTAATTTAGTCAACTGGTAAACTCGACATAGTATGGTAGGAATTAAAAATAACGGCTTCGAAGTTCGACGACAGTATCCTAATTAAGAAGCTTATAAATTAAATTTAGTGATTTTACCTGATTACGCCCTTACACCTCAGCCTTTTAAAGTACAGTAGTAAGTTTTTAAGGGACTTTGTAGTCCCTAAAACAACAGTAACAGTAACTATACAACAGTACAGTACGTTTATTACTGATCTGATTTTACTTCGGCACTACAGTACTGTACTGTACTGTACAGTACACAGTGTAACAGTATCTCAGAAGTCCCTGTTTACTGTAGTACTGTACTGTACACTGTACAGTACTGAATTACAGTACTTTCATGCCAGTACTGTACAGTACTTCATCATAAAACCATACAGTACGGTATTATACTGTACTGTACTGTACACTACTACAGTACTGTACTGTACGTGCATCTAGTACAGTACAGTGTACAGTATCATACCATTTTTAATTAGAGATCTTTACGATCTGGCCTGTTCTGTATAGCCCATACAGTATACGGTTATTGATCAACGGTGATTGGTAAATCCTAGGATATTACGCAACTACGTAATGAGTTTTACATATAGAACGTTCATAATGCAGCGCACTGCACTGGTCTGCACTACAGTCTGTAAAATCTAAATCTTTACAATTAGAGTTAATTGAAATTAAATTTTTATTTATTTCGGTAAAAGTTTTAGTAGTCCTTAATCAACAATAGGATTTTATGGAGCACTGTATACACGATCGAATCATTTTGTTTACTGTTTAGTTTTTACATCTGTGCGTTCGATCTCGGTCAATTTTTCGCTAGTTATTTCTATGCGTATTAAGTAGTGGAATGATTTTAAGTTATATCCTATATTGATTAATTAATATCTCTCCTTGCACTTAATACATACGTATATGTTATTAGTCTAGAACTAAGATAACTTTTTTTGCTTTGATTAAGGCGCAAAGAGAGGTACTTAAAAAGGTATTTATAATTAACTGTAAATTGAGTAAATACACACAAACTAGAAGCACGGCTTCAGCTAGTTATCTTCTAAACGTTCACTGATATTAATGCAACGAAATTAAGTTGTATTGCTGCCTTAATTAATTAATATCTCTCTTTGCGCTTAATACGTACAGTATATTAATCAAGAACTTAGAAAATAAATTTTTTTGATTAAGCGCAAAGAGTGATACCGTAGTTATAATTAACTGTAAATCGTGTAAAATGCACACAAATTAGAAGTGCAATACAAATTGAACATTTTAACCCATAGACATTATTATGCATGATATATCAAGTACAGTACAATACAGTACATTAGAAATGTAACTTCAAAATTAATCATAGTGGTAATAATTTTAATTAATTAATTAATTTCATGCCATGTTTGTCACAACACAAAAATGATTTTATTATATCAACAGTAAGCTATTAAGTAAATCTTCAAGATTGATTCCCTACAATAAAGAAATTTATTACTGTATTACAATTGCAATATTAGCATTGGCATTGCAGGATTGACGTTTCATTATTGGTTATGTTATCTACACTTGCTACCATCATAGAATAATTGCTTGTCTAGGGAGAAAAATAATAAGCTAGTTCCTCGTCCTCTCGGTCCTGATTACGTGAGGCTTCCTGGCGAATACGTCTCGTTTGAGGGGGTTCCGATCTGTACATCAGAGGTTTACCACTCTAATCATTTTAAAAACATTAAAGACTGTCAAATTTACCTATTCAGGTTAAATTATTTATTGTATAGGAGGACTAATTTCAAATGCCATTTACTAGTTTCATAGCATACTATAACCAATCGCCTTAATATACCTTTTTCTTTATATCTGCTTGCGCTCTTTTTAATGCCCGCTTCACTCTGTCTTCTTGGTGCAATCTTTGTGCTTCTAATTTTTCCTCGCGTAACTTCAGGCGTCGCTCCTTCTCCTTAGCCTTTTAGTGATGGTTAGTTATAAGTTATACTAAAACGTAAAGCCACGCTCCAATCGCGCTAATTGTGTACAGCTATTAAAACGTTTTATGTATTGGTGATAAGATTACCTTCTCAGCGGCTTCAACTTTATCGGAAGGAAGAAGTTCTATGGATTCGAATAGCTCCTCCAACTTATTTTCTATCGCCGTTAACATTTGCAACGTACTACATATGGAGATTAAGTACAAAACGAAAAAAGCGATTCTTTCTTTAGTGCATCTGTATTTTTAGAAACTCGTTGTCTTGAATCATAATACAATAATTTACAAAGCCGACGTACGATATATGTATAAAACTCAATAACATTATAAGCATTAGGTAACAGCAAATAAAAATTTTGAAATAGCTAACTTTAAATTTGCTTCATTATCTCCGATGCAATGTCTGTATACTTCCTCTACTTTTCTGTTCAGAGCACCCAGCATTCTTTCTTGGTCTTCAGCTTGGAATGCACCAAAATTAAAAATTCTATAGGATTTCAAAACGGATGTAAATCTTTAGCTTACTTATAGCATGTAATCCTCTTGTGCCTAAAGCTATCATACTTAGACCGTAATTCCAATTCCTGGGCCCTTTCTTCTTCCTTTCGTATAGAAATTGTTAAAAAATCGATTTGCTGCTTTAATTGTTCAGTTTCTTTCTCCCTAACGAGATTTTTATATTTAATTTCTGTGCATGAAAAGCAAACATCGAGGTTCAATTGATATGATTAAATCTTACATTTTTCTTTTGGTTTGAGCTACTTGCTGCTTCATTTCTTCCAATGCTTCTTCAGTTTCTTGGCTATTCTGAATTAATGATAAATTTTGCTCTTCTAATTCGGAAAAAATATCGAGCAGCTGCTGTGGATCTGTAAAGAACAGATCAGGTTCCTGAAAGAGAGTTATTAAGTTGGCTAAGATATTCCCTTCCGAACACCCGAAGTTTAAAATCTTTCTAAATGTAATAGGGGTGATAAGTGAAGACGGTAATCTACTATTAAACAAATTTCATGCTGCAAGAGCTATAGATATTTCGAATAAGCTGGTAGATAATATCATACTTTATGCACATTACAGTATATGCTACCTGTCAGTGTCTTACTTAGCATCGTAGATAGCAAAGATCATTTCGTATTTGCTACTGTAGTCAGTATATTCATTTACTCGATAAATAAATCTACTATCCACTATAACATTAAATACTTTATAATTTTTTTTTTAAGAACTGCAATTCATCTAAGATTTAACATAGCTTATTTATTACTGAACGTATTATTTATAATTTATTGTGCTTAATTCTTATCTGACTAAGAAAAATGTAATGTAATGCACCGTAGATTCGAGTATATCTTATTAATATTTCGCGTTATTTTCACTCAAGATCGTACAAATAATGATACCACAGCTATCATGTACGGCATTCTATGATTCACTACAGTAGTTCGTTTCTAATGATGACAGATATGTTTGCTAATGTAGACATAATGCTACAGCATAGAAAGCTTCAATCACGAAGCATTATTTAGATTAAAATACGGATCCAGCTATCTCTTACGGAATCAATATCTTCGTTATCGGAATCCTCATGAGTAGATAGAGAATTTTGACTATCTGTATCTGCGCTGACTGGAGTTCGAATGCTTTAAGAAAAACAAAATATGCAGTAAATAAATTATTCTCCTCAATTATACTAGTCGTATATTAAAATTCAATTTTTCATAGTTAAAGAAGCTCTTACTGTCTATTTGAAGTTGGTAGGGGTGATAATGGCTAAAAATTAAATGATACATTAATATTTGTTGTCGTAAAATGACGCTAATGAAAGTTATCCAGGCAACTCACAACAGGAACGACCTTAGGCGTTGCTGCACTACTAAGCCGACTTGATCTATCTGAAGCTATGCTAGAGGACCGATTCCCTCTAATAATACCTGAGTTATTTCATAACGTCAAACTTAGTTATTATAAGACCATAGAAATTTCATTAGTTAAACAAGATTTTTTACTTTTTCTTGTCTTTGTTAATGTTTGCTTATCTTTACGTGCTTGTATCTAGATGATCGGCGGCAATATGAATTGCAAGATTAAGGATTAGCAAAGAATTGATAAAAAATAAAATATATAGCAATTTCGCCAGAAACCTGCTTTGCTTCCTTCTCTACATATTTTCTTTCTCTGAAATCCTAAAGAAAAGATTACATGGTTAATTATACGTGAACAAAGTTACTTTGTGATAGGTTCTTAAGGAAACGAAATACTTGTGGGGTCAATGCATCCAAAAACTTTTTATAAAGCTGATACTCCTTAAGCATTTCGTCGTTTTTTGTTATTTCGCTAAGTGAAAATAAGTAAAATGACTCATTTGCGCTATATTTTTGGAGTCAAGATGGAATCATTATCATACCTTCGAATTGCCATCATCTGAGAATTGATTTTTTTAATTTCGTTGTTTTTCTCTAATTTGGCTTTCGTTTCGGCTTCAGCGGTCTTAATGGCTTCGACAGAATTCTTATCATTTTCTTTTAAAAATTCATCAAACATAGCTGCATCTTCTTCTAGATGCTGCTCCGCAATTTCTAATTCTTTCTCCTCTGCCTATCAGCCAAGTGATATTAATTTTTGAGCAGATTCTTAATTTCATCTTATAGCGAAATAATCATAATCGTATAAATACATGTTATTTGATGATTGTAGTTGATAGATACTATATAATCATAAAAGGATACCTGTGCAATCTCTTCTAATTTTCTCATCTCATCTCTCTTTACACTTAGTGAATACTTTATGATACACGATTAATTTGGTACGTTAATACAGATAAATTTAGATGCACCTAAGTCAATAATAGATTCATAACAAAGTTTTATCAAATACCAACGAAGTACTGACTTACCTGAACTAAGAACATGTCACGTTTTTTACCAATGTATTCTTTTAATGTTTCCTTTTCAATGTGTCGATCGGCTGTAAAAAAAATTTATATTGACGACATAATCTAAAACTTTTAATGAAAAAAATTTCTGGAATAACATTTCATCAGATTAGTAGTACCCTTGCTTGCAGCTAAAGTCAGCTGGGTATCCGGTTGAATAATGACTGTCATAGATTCTTCATTCGCTCCATCAAAATTATTTGGCAATAGGTTAGCTTTCCGAGACGAGACCTTCTTTGTGTTCATGCGTTGAACGTAAGTTGTCTTTTCGTATATTTTTAGTTCTTTCTGTTTTGCCCTTTCCTAAAGTTTTTTATTTGACATCATAGTCATATTGAACACGTCATTAGTAAATTTGAGATGGATTAAACCATAAGACACGGATAGGTTTCAATAATTATTTAAAAGAAATATTAAGAAAATTCATCTATTTTTGAGTATTAAATTTGATTATATATTGCTAACATGTAGTTAGACTGGGAAGCGAAAGATTCTCGAAGAAATATTTAAATAAACAGTATGTGCGTATAGTAGATTGTATTGAAAGGACGAAATAGTGCAGATTCATAATTGTTAAAAAGACTGTACTGTTATATGTAGCAACATGATCGGCCAGTGATTAAACTGATTATTCTTATGCATAATGAATTAATAATAGAATAATCATGTACATAAGATAGAAGAGTGCTAGTTTCTGCATCTTAGCTTACAGAAACTTATCATATTAAAAATTTTTATACTGTATTACTTACAGCTCTTCTTCTCTGTTTGTCTTTATCTCTTAGAATGAAAATATCATTATCTGCGGGTATTTTGAACGGATTCCTGTGTAGTTCTTTTTCCTGGCTATCTGTTTAAATGAGATATTGACTAACAGTGAGCCAACCTGAACGTAACATGTATGTAATGCAGCAGACATAGCTACTTTATTATATTAATATTCTGATTCTGCATTCAAACTATTACACTATCATCAATTTTGTAATAAATGCATGCATCCTAAAATGACACAGAATCAATATGAACTTTTCTTAACCTCCTATTCTTTGCAGTACGTGATACTTTATTTGATTATTTATGGTGCTACATGCTTTGTAACACAGCTCACCTTCATCATTTATGGATATAGGTTCGCTGATCTCAGATTTGCTTGCTATTGTTGTAGGAAATGTAACTCTTCCTGATTGTCGCGATGATTCTTGTCCTATAAGGGAAATTTAACAATTTTAGCCTAAGAACTTGCTGATAAGTTATAACTATATGTAGATAATACCATAAGTTGTCTGCAACAGTAAAATGCATAAAAGTAAATGTATACTTTTAAAGTAAAGGAATTTGTGCTAAAAAATCGAGAAAACCTTGCATTTATACACGCATATGGCATAAACTAGAAAGTAATATAGTGTACTAGACATAATTAGAAACTTACAAATCTAAGGGTGTTTGATACCATAACAACTAGTAATATAACCAGAATTTTAATATATTTGCTACATGCGCCAAAATTTTGTAAAATAATTTTTACTCAAAGAAGCGTACGTGCAAATGTTCAACTCAAGAACATCACTTAAAAAAGTAACAGTCATACTTGATAGTCTTTGGGAGGTGGCCCGCGTTAATTCACTAAGCCTCGAGTCAGCATGTCCATGTTCATCATCCCCAGGCATCTGAAAATCTAAAGTTGTAATTTTGTTAACTAGTTAAGGCGTTAAGCAGAGAGATCTTTGCGATAAATGGGTATTACTTTCACGATAGCTTGATAAACGCACAGTACGCTAATGGTGTACGAAATAGCAGTATCGTCAGTAAAATTATAGTTCTAATTACCTTAATGTTGGCCTGAATATATGATGTTGAAAAGTATAAATTCTTGAAATATTTTGATATGGGTAAGAGTAATTTTTGTATCGTATGATAATATAATATAATTTTTTTATTAATACGCGTATTAAATAAATTCGTTTATGTGATCGTAGCTACTAGTAGGATGAACAAACTGGTATGATGGGAATTATCGCTCAAATGTAGAGAAGTAAAGTCGATTTAATATTGGACTATTATTAAATTACAGTATATAAACAATTTTTGACTTGCATAGTAACTGATGACAGAAAATTACAGTATCAGTGGATGAGTCGGAGCAGTCCTATACTGTAAAGTGCAATGCTATACTGTACTCGCATTCGCGCGAAGCAGAGTCCTGCAATTGTATACTGTATAAATTAGTAGTGTGGTATCGTAGTGTATCGGATTACTGTACTAAAAATTGATAGTACTGTACACTAATGAGTGAGACACATTGCTGATCTTTTTTGTAGAAAATTAGTAAATGACAACATGACTGTACTGTACAGTGTACAGTACACAGTACTGTAGCATAACGATACAGTACTGTACTGTACTGTACAGTATAGCGCCGCGCTGTTCCTCTTNTTCTACAGTACAGTATTGTTGAATGTTGATAGCGTAAAATAACGTAACCATGACTACGGCTGGTAGACCAGTGTTGGAAATTGGGCCTACGGTACAGTGTTGAAGTGAGTCCCTAATTTATAAAGCCATGATGACGCTGACAGATGCTGATGAAAATACAAAATTTAATGTAACGCTTTTGTAGCAAGGTCTACGAATGAGTTTGCTTCTCTGTTACAGTAATGTAAAGTGACACTATGCCGTAAAGCAGTAATAACTAATGAGCCAATGTACTGTACTGTACTGTACACTGTACTGTACTGTACAGTACTGTACAGTATTGTAAATTTGTAATAAAATCTCATACTGTACTATACAGTACCTGTACACTGTACTGTACTGTACAGGACTGTAGTATCTATGGTCCAGTACAGTACAGTACTGTACTGTACTGATCCAATACGATACAGTCCAGTACTGTATGTACAGTACTGTACTGTACACTGTGTACCACAGCATGATGTGCTGTATTGTACACTGTACAGTACAGTACAGTAACAGTACAGTACTGTACAGTACAGTATACCAACTACAAATTGCAGGTTCTCACAGTACAGTACAGTACAGTACAGTACTGTACTGTATACTGTACTGTAGAAAGTTTTCTTTTTTTACAGTACTGTACATACTGTACTGTACACTGTACCTCTACGGTGCAGATTGTACGGTACAGTACTGTACAGTACACTGAGCGGCAGTCTTATGATAAATTTCATTTCATCTCCTGTTACCATAGCCACTGGCTGATCCGTGAGGTAAAATTTTGTTCGTTCTTTAACGCTTATTCCTTATTAGAGTATTAAATATTACAGGATACTTTTTTTGATGTCTTTCTATTTAGATTGAAAATTTATTAGTTTCGTAATTGTATTATCACCCACGTTTAAGCTATGAGCTTGTAATGTATAGTACAGTGAGTCCTATCAAGTACAGTACTGTATCACTGCTTGGCACTTAAATTACTATACTGTACACTACTGTACTATACAGTACAGTATACTTACAGTACTGTGCTGTACAGTGTACAGTGCATGGGTAAAAATTTGAAATGCTAACTGGACCGTCGTAAACGTCGCCTAGTACAGTACTGTACTGTAGAGTACAGGTACAGTACAGTACTGCACGTACTGTAAACCTACAGTAAACACACTATAAATATACATTGTCAGTATGATACCAATACTACCGTGGTAGAATAGAGTATACTGTAGTCTCGACTGCACGAGGCAATGACAACGAGCCAAAGCTTAATGCTAAGTTATACGCATTATATTTATTTATGTTACTTTTTACATAATTTTTTTAATAAACGATTGCTACTATATATGCGATACTATTCATACTAACTGCGAATAAAATAACCTAATGTTGTGTAGCTATACAGCACCGGATATACAGTACATGAAAGTGTAAGCACGCCTATTTTTTATCTGTAAACGCCCATCAAAGTACTTTGTACAAACTACCATGCTACCTACAGTTCAGTATGTTACACTATGATATACTATACTGTAAACAAGTAACCATAAATCTCATTATTTCTTCAGGAACTTAAAAGTTTCCCTCAATTTGCAAGAAGCGGTAACTTTTTAAATCTTGACGTGCGTTATTGTACGTAACTACTGAATATTGAAGATGCCGCTCTTTGGTCGTAAGAAAAATGATGAGAAGGTGCATAGCAAATACAGCTTCAAAGACGTACTTGGAACGTGAGTTTCATAGCGTAGCACTGATCAATAAATAATACCGTAAACGTTATACTCTTTACCTTATATTTATTAATTCCTTATACCAGTTGTATTTATTTACGAAAGGTACTATAATTTATTACCTTAATACTGCATTATCATAGTAAATTATTATAATAAGGTACAGCTTGTTAATTAGTTACAAATATGACTGATATCAGAGCTATACTGTATATTGATTAGGCATTTTGCTAACCCGGCAAAATGTATAGTGCAAATGCACAAATTTTGGATTGCTCAAGGTACAATTGTATATTCCTGTGTTTTTGACTGAGGTACGCCTCAGCCTCAATTACAGTAGGTTATTTAACTGATATCCTGGTATTAACATACTTAAGATTATTTGATTAATTGATTGATATTTTCATCATTTTATTTATTGTGTTAAAGTTTTTGCATAAAGTATATAATAGCAGCCAAAATTTTCATTGTTTTACTGAGACGTCTTTAGTATACGAACATAGACTTAGGCCAGTAGTAGTATTATTTTTCTCTGCGGTACAGCATAGGAGACGCAAACCCAAGCTACTATACGTTACAGTTCAATATAAATGATATATACTGTACTTGAATATATGGAAATAAAAAACTGAAAAGCCTTAAGAGATGCTGTTGTTACTCGGAAATTTCAGAGCTCATCCGATAGGACAGGAAGCAGAAACCTGCTTATCTTATAATGTTGTGATTAAAACTAGAGTATTAACCGAATCGTAATAAGCTAAAATATCCCGCTTCCGTCTTATTAAAAAATTCTTAAGGATCATTTCCGGATATATCTGTCCCTCTTATCGCCGTCGTGAAGCCTGATTACAAAATAACGAGCACAATGCATTGCACAATCGATACCCAAAGCATTATAATCTTAGCACAAACGAGTGGCCTAGAGTATACACTAACTAGTTCAGCAACAATAGAATTAACATACGGTAAAACGGGAGATGTTTGCTATAATACTAAACAGGAATATTTTATTTAACTTGAATCTATTTTAGGGGAGCATTTTCCGAAGTCGTTTTGGCGGAAAATAAACAAACAAAGGAAAAATTCGCGATAAAATGTATCGATAAACGTGCGGTGAAGGGTAAAGAAAAGTCTCTGGAAAATGAAATTGCTATTTTGCAAAAGTAAGTAACCTTTGATTTAAAAATTTAACAAAACGATAGCAAATATAGCTTGAGTGTTTTTGTAACATCTTAAAATTATTGATTATCTAGAGCACTTAGTTATGAGATGTAAGAAATTTCAGTCCGAACCGAAGCCTTATCGGTTAAATAGGTTATATATCTATTAAATGGACTACGATACTGTAGTGTTAGTGTAGTGTTTGATCGCATTACGATACTAGCTATTTAAAGTTAGAAAAAGAGTACTAGGACTAGGCAGCGATCGCTTACGCAACATAACGATATTGCTATGTAAGTGTGCTCATATTTAGGAAATGTAAATGAATAGTATTCAATTACTCTACTATAGCGTGTAGTATGCACTGTCAATTTAACATTCGTTTACGGAACTAGCCGAAGCCTAGTTGTACATACTGTGATACAGCTTACTCTTTATAAACATCAAGGCCTCACGTGTTGTATGCATGTACAATTGTGTATTATATGCCTTCATGGCCAGTAAATTAATACTTTATAATGTATAAATAGAAGTGATTATTATCTAATATCTACTCTATTCAAGTAATAATGACCTACCGTCTTTAAAATTGCGTATTATGATATAGATCCATTTATGTGAAGTATTAAATGAATCCTTCTGATTGTATTAATTTCCATAGAGTTGAGCACCCAAATATTGTGAAGTTGATCGAACTCTATGACAGCAAAACTCATCTTTATTTGATTATGGAACTGTAAGCAAGACTAGCATTATTGTATAATGTTAATAATAACCTTATAAATATATTAACTGAAAATTATTCTATGTCTTCTTGCACGTTTGTATGACACCGATTATCGCAATTTTTTAACATTACATTTGAAGTAGATTTCAGGTTACAGAAAGTTATTACAAATACACAACGTAATGCTTTTGCATGTGAATTCGTTACTGTTGTTATAGCGTTTTATGTTGCAACATTCCTTTTTCGAATATTAGACTATGCTAACAAGGTTGATTCTTAAAGCTACTTACCAACTTGTACTTTCTATCGTAATGTTTCTAAATTCTTACAACTAAATTACTGATTATGTTGATTGTAACATATTACTCGTAAGTTGATTTTCGTTCGTATTAACTGACACTGTAGTTCGGATTGTATTAATACTGTATTTACTGTACCGTTACGTTGCGTCCTAGTACTAAATAAGAGTTATTATTGCACAAATTGAATTTTGTCAGTTACTAAAAGAATGAATCCCGATTTGTGAATTAAATGGATTCTTTTTCAATAATAGATAATACCTGTTTATTTATGCACAGGAATTGCTATTTAATTACGATTAAATCCGAAAGCCTTATATATTGCCTGTACATTACTAATAGTTACAGAAGTCGAAATTTATATCAGACAATATAGCTAATTAAAAATTATTCGAATTTTTTGTCATTTTGGTAGGGTAACTGGTGGGGAGCTATTTGATAGGTAAGCCGTAGCATTTTAAATGGGATTGATGTGTCGTATCCAAGAGGGATTTTTAGCCACAAAAAGTTTTGCTTACTGATATAGAATTGTACAAAAGGGAAGTTATACTGAACGAGACGCTTCCGTTTTGATAAAGCAAGTTTTAGAGGCTGTCGGTTATCTTCATGATATTGGTATTGTTCATAGAGACCTGAAGGTAAAAATTTTCTTTAGGCATTTGACCTTAACTATTTTAATTCTTTTAAAAATTGACGTCTTTTTGTAGCCGGAGAATTTGCTATATTATAGGTAAGCGAACGAATACTTAGATCTTTCGCTTGAACAGTTTGCAGTATTACAATAACGGTTTTACTTTGTAAATGTAACTATAATAGTCCAGCTGACGATTCAAAGATTATGATCAGCGACTTTGGTCTATCTCACATGGATGATGGTACAGCAATGGCAACTGCATGCGGAACACCAGGATACGTTGGTAAGAAATCTTGCATTTACATGCCATAAATCTAGTATCTGAGTTAATATTGTTTTGTATTAACAAACATTTTCTTAGCTCCCGAAGTTCTGGCACAAGAACCTTACGGAAAGGAAGTTGACTGTTGGTCAATTGGCGTTATTTCATACATCTTGTACGTTAAATTGCAAATAGGATACTGTTTATCATGCTTCATTATAATTATTTGTTTTATCTGTGTAAGATTGTGCGGGTACCCGCCATTTTATGATGAAGATGATACGGAATTATTCGCTCAGATTATGAGAGCTGCATACGAATTCGATTCTCCTTACTGGTATGAGGCTATTTTAATGTCTACTCAGTTTTAAATCATATTCTTATAATTTGTAAGCATGTGTTATGCGCATAAAAAATAAGTAAGCAGTAACGCTTAATAAATGCTACTATTATTATCTTCCTTTCAAGGGACGACATTTCAGATTCAGGTATACACAAACCATTTGGTATTGAATTTCTTATATAAATACAGTTAAAGTAATCTTGATTTTCGAAGGTAATTTAACCTTACAGGATTGGTAATTATTAAAATATATTCACATAGCGAAAGACTTCATCAACGGATTGATGTGTAAAATTGTAAAGAGAAGAGTCTCTTGTTTGCAAGCCCTTCGTCACCCTTGGTTCGTAATATGAGTATACAATAAATTTTAAAAATTTTCCTATGCATTTCAGCGGTATCAGTCCTTTGCTACTTTTTCAGGATATCTGGAGGAGAAGCGCTGACTAAAAATATTCACGAATCTGTTAGCAATCAGATGAAGAAAAATTTCGCAAAAAAAAAGTGGAAGGTACGATAATAACAACAATACGGCAGTATTTACAGTATATTTCATATTGTGTGATTGGCTTATAGTTTTATTGTCTGAAGGTAGAATATTATGTAAAAACTAAATATACTTGTACTGTTCATGACTAAAATACATATGATAACTATATTTTACTAAACAGCAAGCTTATAATGCGGCTGTGGTTATTCGACGTCTCAAGCAGCTCGGGATAAGTGAAAAATTTACGGATAAAATGGAAGATGAAGATAATAATGAGTCTGATGTAGTTGCTGCATCTCCTGGTATTAAATCATCTTCAAATGCAAGTAATGGCCAGACTAAACAACGAAGAAGTTAGTACATTTGTCAGTGCTATTGTTGAGATGAGTCTGCATGAAGGTGGAATACTTGGTTACTTGCTGTCAGTCCGAGAAATTTCGAGATATAGATCTCTAGTTGTAAAATGAAAATGTCAGGCAGGATTATGACTATATTACTCACATAAGATGGTAATTCAGTTTAAAAAATAATATGTAGGCTTGTATAGAATATAGTTTGTTTGCGTTACAATCGTGACTTAAATCTCGGTAAAGTATATCACCGCCATCGGTAAAACCTGATAGGTTCTATGATATTTCGTTTGAATGTATATCTTAACATGCGATGGTTACAATAAGAAATAATAGCTTTATTAGCTTATTTTGCGATTATTTTTACGTTCATCAGAATAACCAGATTGTATTTTCTAAATACAGTTTAAATCTAGCAATATTTTGAGTAGGCGAATATGCATGCCTTTTAGCAATTCTGTAGGTGTTATTTTCCATAAGTCAGTACTACATCTACTATTTTGAAATACAAAAGTACTGATGATTCTTTATATCGGTAATATCAAACTATTCACCATTACATGTATTTCATAACGGATTATTGTAATGCTGGAATTCAGTAAATAAAATGACCTGAATTATGTGCAGCGAAAGTACTTATATTGTTTTGTCTAACAATGGTATGAATAGATATTCCTGAAGATTAATATCTCAGATTTCACGCTACAATAGTTAAAGCCGGTTGCAGCGCTGACGACGATTATATGACATTACCGTGGTCGTAACTCTAGTAGCGCATATCGCTAGCAAAAATCATGTCACACATAGTCATAGTTACAGCCTTACTTAAGCCAAATATCACGAGCAGGACATTTTTGCTGCAGTAGTATGTCAGCGTATAATTTGCACTGCAGGATTTAAGAACCTTTTAATTAAGTAAATATTTGAGCACTATAAAAGTATGTTAGGGTAGCTCATAGAAGCTATGCTGCAAATGTTTCATATTTCATAACAAGTAGTCTTATGATTCATACACCACTTCTTGAGAGTTAAGAATCTAAGTCAGTAACCTACGAACCTGATTCCTACACTGCAAGATTTACTATTGCCCATTATTAACAATTGATGGGTAGGTAACTAGGTACTTAAAAGACACTTGGACTTGCACACGGTTATTATCACTTGTTGGCTTGATTTTCGATCGCTAACAATACATGTGAAATAGTATTTGAAAAAAAATTACGCAAAATTCCAAAAATGGTAAAAAATTTTTATTTGCCTTCTGCGGAATAACAGATTTTGACAATTCTATTTATTTTCTAAATAATTATCTGAATAAAATAACACATGAATACAAAACTACAAATTGTTTTCTTGTCACGGGCCAGATTATTCATCAAATCTGGTATTTTATAAAATTTCGACAGATGCAGCGCGTATCAAAGAAATTGTATAATCATTCGCAGTCTTTAAAATCGATTAGGTATAAAGCAACTTCAAATCTGCGGTAAGTAAAATTATTTTCAGCTAGTTTATAACAACACCGTTATAATTTGCAGAATATTTTTAATAATGATTTGTGGATAATCAATGTTGTAATGAGAATACATTGACATTGTTGTATAGGATAATGCATGCATAAATCATAATTTGTGCAGAAGATTCTAGAAGACAGTAGCTGACAGCATATCCTTATAGGTCCGAAATTCTTTGCATGTTATAGCCTAAGTTATACATGAGTATACCAACTATTCATGAAAAATTCTTAAGGTATCACTTCATTATAGCCAATTTTGTATAAGCTTATTTTAATTAGCATCTCAGGTTCAACTGTGATATGGTGTTAGAATTATAGTGTTAGTTGAAATTCTCAGATTCGTCAACCGCATTGCCTTGTAGAAGGTGCCGAACAAAATCGTCTGAAACATCTTGCATTTCTGAGTATACGTTAATCCCCGCCATTTCACAGTCATGGTCCACTGATGGAGTGAGTGCTTGAGGCTGTTCGGTGTATCAAATCACATATACATTAACAATAAAAATTGCTATTAAGGAACGGATACCAATGTAAATAATGGAATTTTTACCGTAGAAAGAGGTGTTGAACACGTCGACGAAGGTTCAGATCCAGTGCTATGATATTAGTAAATGATACTGAACGATTTATTACATACTCATACTTATATTACGTCGCACCACAAGACGACATAAGAAATGTAGCGTTTTACGTTTCTTAAAAGATATTTTACCTATCATCCAAAAATAGCTTAAATTTCAGCCTTGATTTATCATATATACTACTTTTTCCATTTTCGCTTCCGGCAGTTTCTGTAGCGATATAAACATGTGCAAGTCAATAGAGCAATTTCCATTCAGACAATACGTGTATTTTTTTAACTTTCATATCAGTTTAACCTCGACTGCAGCTTATCTGATTACCGCTACCGCTGTAATGACTACGGAATGCATCTTCTTTAGAAATTCCTTTGGGGTATACATATCTAAATTGCTGTATATCGAATAAACTGTAGGCAAGCAATTACATAAATTTCTTTCAGTACGTGTTACTTCATCTTATTGATGACAATCACAGTTGTATATTATATCCTCAAAAAGTATCCGATTACCATTCCGATAAAGTCTTCATAAGCGTAAATTTTTTCTCATCTAAAGGTTCAGGAAATTCCACTACTTTCTGACCTAATATGTACAAAATGCTTCGTGACATAAATAGAGCGTTTTGTAATTGGAAAGGCACATAAGATACCTGAGCGATCAACTCGAGTAAAACATATACTAATTGCTTTCGGTTTCCCAGAACTGAACCGTAACAGAAATGTTCCAGGTTCACACCCTAAAAGAATTTCTTTTGCTCTTTCCTTAGCTATAAAGCCCACGAATAGTCTATAAAATGAATTAAACTGAGCAAACTGAGCTTACAGTAGTGAGGCTATTGAAATCTCTTAGATTTAAAGTAAGATTTAATCACCCTTCACACCATATTGCTTTCAGCTCTGAGTTACTTTGCATCAGATCAAGAACCGTATGAAACCACTTCCAAAAAGGCTGATTAAATTCCGAAACTGGAATCTGTAGGTTTGTGGCAAAGTTTAGCTAAGTTAGTAATATCTGGTGAAGTACACAGTAAGGACGTCATTTCTTCGATATTTTTTCCGACAGGATATTGAAAAGAATCGATGCGAATTAAATTGCCTTAATAAATTTCTGCCATGTAACCACGGTGCATGATAAGTCTACAGTTTTCATCACGTGTGAGTCACCTATAACAGTAACCAGTGTCTACGTGAGGTGTACGCGTATTAGCTAAAATACTGCTCAATCTGTCAGTAAACTTTGGAATTTACTGTAAATCACTAACCGATTAATTTGCAAGCTAAGAATTGTAGGTTTTCCTCCGATAGTCCACTTCCAACTCTATGGAAAAATTCAGTGTTTAGCATGTGAGCAATACTTTGCCACTTGACTTCTTTCGGCACTTCGAAACCTTCACGATTCTAAATCAAAATGCAATTTATTGAAAGCTAAATCTACCACTAAAATTAAAACTTAAATTACCGGAGAAGAAAAATAATTATCCCAAACGACCGTGCCCATTGCATTCGCAGTCTGATTTGTATTTACAATTATAACAGTTGGCAACGAAACATCCTATGAAAATATGAATTTTGTTAAGACATTATGACATCAAAAATTACTTAGTAAACGCAGGCAATGTTCTATAACATAATGAAATAAATTTAGGATACCCTAACTATAATCTTCTTAGCTTGGATAGTAAATTCGGATGTAAACAGGATGGCAAACTTTAGTTCTGTTACCATCTGCAGTACGTACAACGAATTTTACAAGAAATGTTTATTATATTATTAATATTGGTGTTCAAGGTTGAGAAGAATATTAGTTATCTACCTCATCACCCTTTGCAGTTGCTCTTCTACCAATTTTCTAGCAAAGAAAGACAACTTAATTCATTACAAATCGCTCTTATATCATAAATTCTACTTATGTTGCAAAAAACCATTACTATGATTAAAGGTTGCAAAGATCAAAACCAGTCAACTCTAAAATCGTTATATTTTAATTTATACATGAACGTATCAATGTTGAAATTGCCGTTGAAAATTGCTTCAAATCGCGAATACTTAGTTCCTACATCAATGCCTTTGATAATCTATAGTGATCGAATCATAAAGTAAGTAAACCTTGGTATCTACCACTTCAACAGTAATGAATAGCAGTAGAACATACTCTGTGTTAACCTGTGCCTACGCTTTAACATAAAAACGCATCGAAATTTTTTCTCACACTAGCTGGCTAACTAGTGCTTAACTGATTTTAAACAGTGCCTCACGTTTACTGCGACAAAGAGTCTTTACTTCCGTGGTAGTTACTATAAGTTAAAGCGTATAATACACGCGCTGCAATCATTAACTATTCACGTAAACATATTGCAATCTCGTATAATTTTAAATTAATGTACTGTTGATATTCAGCCTGGAACTACAGGCGTAAGAAAATCCGACTTCATCAGTAAACCAAGTTCTAAGACTGTACGACATCGTGTACGTAATGTTTAAGGCGAGTACGATTACTAATTACTATTACTGAAGTATTAAATTACCATATTCGTTAAATCAACTTTCCACATTCTTGTTTGACTGTCGAATTGCATTGGCTAGATTTTATTGAACAAAATTTTAGAATTTTTATTCACAAATTACGTTAATAAAATAATAAATTTCTTGAATACGTACCTTGCAGCTATTAAGAATTTTACCACTAGCACCTAAACTATAAAATATAAAGATAAATATTTAAGGGTTACATTCTAGTCGGGATTAGCAGCAGGTACTGACTAAGGATAAATTAGCCTTTAAGTGCCATACTGAGCTCTTAAACTCAATGATAATATGCTTGTACAATGTATAGTGTACAATCCTGATTCTTACTTACTCAGGCGGAAAATTTCCGCTGCGCAAACTTCGAACCTGAGATTCACTGCCGATACAGTAATAATCGAAGTGTAACATAATAAATCAAAATATATCAAGAAGAGAAATACTATAAGTGTTGCTAATAAATTATCTTAACATACCTTAGAATGTATGCATTAACGTCCGTTAATTGAGAAAAGGCATTCAGTTTTGTACCAATTAGTGAGCTGATGTGTCGAGAGCAAATAAATTCATAGTGTAAAATTTAATCCGTTATATTATCTATCCTTATCCGCAATAGCCAATATATTATTTAATTACATAATTTACCAAACAGATGCGGCAAACTTTGTATCTACTTTAATTATTTGAGGAGGTTGCTTCATGATGACAAATGCTCTGATAATATAATATAACAGTAATGTGTACGTTTAAAAGTTACACCATATAAATAAGTATTCATAATATAATGATTCACTTTTGTAGTACGAATGGTTGTCCAACAATACTGTACTAAACATATTGCCATTAATTACTTGTTCACAAGTTCCGAGAGGAGATTTTCCAGCTCTTGAAGTATAATATCCAACGTAGGCTTAACTGCCTGATCGTTTGCATGCAGGTTCTTATCACATACTGCTAATAGCTATAAATTATAAATTATAAATTAAAATTTTTTGATCATTCCCCTTGAAGCATGTTATTACATTATTTCCAATGTACGCGCTATCAAATCTTCCTGAACTTCAACTCGCAAATACGTATGCTATGCAAAGAAAAAATTTCATATCTGTATGTTATGAATGAATAAATTTTCGACATGTCAACCTGCTCCACTAAAATTTTGGTTTGCCAAATAGTATCTAAGCTACTTTCACACCATAGCTGAATTTGTTTTAATTCCTCGCAATGAGTGTTCATCAAGTTTTCAATTCCACCTAGTGCCTTCTGACGCTGCTTCCATTCAAATAATTGGACATCAAGTACCTTTGAGTGTAGTACCTTGACTCCCTCAACAATTTTAGCAAATTTTTCCGCAATTCCCTTAATTTAATTGTAAAAAATAGTCATTCCTACAGCTGCATGACAGTATCATTACATATACCCTTTTAATCAAATATTTCTAACCATTTCTGTATCTTTTCGATGTTTTACGATTTTAAGAATATCGTTATATAATTTCTGGCGTTGCTTAAATGCTTGCATCTAATTGTAAGAAATATGCTTAATTTTTCTCTTGGCGAAAAGCTACAGCGATGCATCCAGTATGTGGGATGAAGAAGTGTCTTATACCTGACTGGAAGGATATTTAGAATTGGGAACTGGCTGATACCTACACTCTGGGTGTTCTATAGTAAAACGGAAGATGTTCAAGTTATAATTGCACAAGTAATTAATCTATATAATTAACAGTATTAAAGTAAAATACTTTCTTAAATATCCAATAAAAATTTAATTTTAACCTTCTAAAAGTTTATTCCAATGATGATATAAAATATTCAAATTTTCTCGCAGCTGCTGAATATTTTTCCAATCGTTTTCAGCATCAATCGTGATCATATGCAGTTGGCTGCAGATTTTACGAATATCTTCAGCCGCAGTGCTAATATTATTATTTCCGTTCGGCCAATTGGATGACTCATCATTCCCTTTCAAGGTTATTGTAGCCTACGAGATGTGAATAAAAGTAAATGATGCTTTACAATATTTTAACAAGTTCGATAATCAAACTGTAGTTTGGGTAATGCGATTTCTATAAAAACGTCTATATCTCAACTGAACCAACAGGATATCCAAAAGTAAAATCGGTGTCTAGCTTCTTTAAACGTATACAATACATACTTCTTGGCACAATTTCCTTTCTGTCTCGAGACAATCAAGAAGAATATCCAATAGTCTCATAGGATTCTGTTGAAATCGATTCTGTAGTTTTCAATAGTAATATAGCATTATTTTGTTTAACATGTGAGGTATGTTATACTCATGATACTGTTGTTAATCAGAGTGTCTTCAGTTTTAGTGATAACAATAGTACTAATGAATAATAAACTGTCATTATCAGCAGTAAAACATGGAGTAAATCATAGCTTTGTCTTATCTTATAAGAGACAGATCTCATTACCTACCTACCTTAAAATCTTCGATATACTTGGTCATACGAGACCACTGCAGCAGTGCATCCTGCGTGGAAATTTGTTCCAACTATTAAAAGGTATCATAAACCAGAAAACGGATTTAAGTTTAATAAAAATAGTTGATTAACACTTGCATGTACTTTAAGGCACGCTAAAGCAACGGTGTACTGAGTTCAGTAGATAGTTTAATCAGTTGCATATAGATGTTGCAATTGTAAATTGAACGACATGTACGTCTGTAGCTATTAATAACTAGTAATACATTATCGACTTAAAGTGTAAAAATACCTAGGGTGTGCGATACAGATTACTACAAACACAACAGATGCGCGTATGGTACTACCATAGGAAACCTTAATTTATTTCATTGCAGGTACTGTATGTCTGGACGTTCGTACAGTAAGTACCTTACAAGGCACGGAACGTAAAATTCAAAAAAAGCTACAACGTGTGCACCAGCTTTACTTTATATTTGCAAGCTGAGCATTTCATAATTATAATTGTTACGAGGAGTTATGTTTAAAACTGAAATTCAATGCATTAGATCAAACATCATATTCGGTCTCACCTGCTGTGTTTGTTGTCTCATGAGGCTCAGCAACTCATCACGGACACGAATAGCAGTCAATTCATCTCGATTTTGTCCTAAACTCCTACAGAGGGTGACAGCATTTGTTTACAAATTTCGTATTCACTAAAATGTACAGTACCAGTCTTTATAGGAACGTAAAATTTAAGATTTAATTGCTAAATTCGAGACTAAAAAACAATGATAAAACCACGACAAGTAAACTTAGCCCATGTTTAGCCCTAGTTTACAAAACGCAGAAGTGTCCAATCTCAGTTTTTAGACTGTGTAAAAAAATAAGCTTCTAATATAAATCCTCTGTTTTAATGAATAAATATCGTACAGACGAAATTTCTACGCGCTATAACATCACGAAATCATCTCATCGATACTGTTCATGATTCGCTAATGTGATTTTTAACGTTACAGTTTCACAACAAATTTCTATAGCTTTAAAAGATTTCTAGAATCAAGAAAGGGATCTATGCTATGTTGAGGAGTTTCTTATTCATCCAGTAACAGGATGCAGAAAGATATCACATGAACCCACTGTACTGTACACTACAATTTGTAAACAGGCTCAACTCTCCATGGGCTACTTATCATGCGCACTTATTCGAGAGCAAGTTGCATCACGTACGTATGGCAATTTTCAATAATTAAACAGTAACAAATAGTATTGCGTTAATTGACGTTCCTGCTCTACCGTAGACATTTGGATAGTATCAAATCATATAATTATTTTACTGTACTACAGTGAAAATTCATGCAATCGATCTACAACAGCTGAAACGTTGAATCGTTGAAAATTTTAATTGAAAGGCGACACAAATACGAAACATGTGGCACACCAAATCGTAAATACAGTACGGTACTTTAATGTAACATTTTTTTATGCCACTTTACTATGAGTTTAGCCGGACAATACTGTACATTATTACTGTACTGTATCTACGTGTACATTGCAGATTTTGCGGAAGAACTATGCACTAGTTGACTACGTGTAGTTGGCAATTTCTAATTTATAGGTACAGTACAGGAGCGCGGTTCGAATCTTGAAGTTGGACAAAAATAATGCAGATACTTGCAGTGAATAGAGTATAGTATCTAAAAAATTGGATTGAGTCAATTTAGTTCATGAAACTGACTTGATTCGAAAATTATACCTTTAGTCATCAATACGAGTAATGGGTAAAATCAGGTCAGTGTTATATTATAGTGAAAGTATAGTAATAAGGTATCCTACAATCGTTACAATGGTTCACATCAATGTTCAGGCTAGTACAAAGTATTATCATCGCATTATACTGTACACTTATTGTGTTTATCTTATCTTAAGATCACTTCGTTTCGACGGTGTCGATTAAATAGCTGTGAACGGAGACTCCCTATGAAAAAAACACTGGTTTTACAGTACGCGATCGATGATACAGTACTGCATGTTGCAGATTACAAACGTACAGTATTACAGGATTCGAATTTTATTTACCAAAACTGATTTTCTATCCAGTTGGCAAAGACGCATCTAATTTCTATATGAAATTGATGCATTTCATAAGTTTGCAGCATTTGCTGTAGCGCAGGACCACGCAAACTTTGCGACGCTGCCCAAAGAGCCATATCGGAATTACTTTCTTCTTCTTTTTTAACAATAAAAACTTACAGTGTAACTGTAAGTATTAACTGTAACTAAATACTGTACTGTACAGTACAGTGAAAAATCAGCAAAAAGACTGTTTCCAAATAATTTTAATGGTAATTTTAATCTGCTAGTGAGTAGCGATAGTAATCACGAGCTAAATACGGCCACAACTTAATTAAGCACTGCTGTACGGTATTTAGCAGGAAATGCAGTTCGGTACAGTACTGTACTGTACTCCAGAGAACCTGTACTGTACTGTACTGTAATTTGCAATACAGTACAGTACAGTACTGTACAGTACCATACACTTGCAGTACACTACAAAACTGTACACAGTAATTATAATTACTTCGTGCTTTGACTATTCTTGCACTACATGGACGGTCGGGTTAAAGTTTAATAAATGTGTCCGTGAAGTTACATATTGGTATAAAGTATAGTATTTTTACGTTAGTTCCAGCAATATTTTTCCCTTTTTACATCTGAGAAACAAAATAAACATGCCGTACAATCGTGTGTAAAAACTTTGAGTATGCCGTTAGATCAACCGTACTACTGCGGTTATCCACCGCTTTCAACAACGGGAGTGTAGACTTTCAGCATGCAGATAAGTACAATGCTACTCATTCGATAGATTTAGGAAAATGAGCATAAGTTTAATCTGAATTTCGTCTTCAAATGTACGCTGCTGTGTACATGGCTACTGTGCAAGGACAATGCTATCATGTAATGTACGCAGTCATACAATACGCCCAAAACTAAATAACGATCGGACACGGTAAAGAGATGCTTCAGGATTAGAATAACCTAACCATTATTGCAACCGCATATCTAAGGGTCTCTAGGAATCACGAGATAACTGGGTAATACAGTACAGTACTGTATACGGTACTTTTATTGCAGCAAAGGCAATACTATTTAACCTTAACAGCCTACAGAATCAAACATAGATACCGTACCATACTACAGCACGTGTACACTGTACAGTGTACAGTACAGTACAGTACTCTGCAACTACAGATTCTACAGTACTTTACACTACTGTACTGTACAGTGTACAGTACTGTATACCTGAATCATCATATCATGCGATAACATAACAATAAATCACATATTGATGATACTATATGAGGTATTGAATTAAATGACAGTGGCTATCTGAAAATTTCGCTATAGACTGTTAAATACTAATACAATTCGTTTAAATATATAAATGATAGAGGCTTGCATTGCACTATCATTAGTAACAATTTTTATCTGGGTTGCGAAATGAGCTGATGCAATTTACTTCAGAAATCAAAATTACGATATTAGGTAAAGTTTTAATCAACAAAGTATAGGTGTGCTCTGTAGATACCGGCTTTCATGAAGATTATAAACCGATTTCAATTCGTAAGCGTAAAATATTAATTTAGAACTTGACTAATGAGTCATTGCGGCATAGGCGGTGCAGTAGAAGTCACGATAAGGAAAATCAAACCGAGTCGAAACTAGTAATCGATTAGTGAATATATACTTTGTAAGCACGCATTCTAAATACGATCGATAACCCCTTGATAGTTGTAAATAAACGCAAACAAGGGCGACAGCAGCGTAGTGTAGACAATTTTGGTCTATTAACTTTCTATTTCTCAGTATTCAGGATTAATTGCCACTGAAATTTTCAGATTATATCCTCTGATTATTATACTGTGAGCACAAATCAAAATCATAAAACAAACCTTACAATTAAGAATATTTTAAACAAAGTCAGTTTGCGATAGAATTACTCCGACAAATAAGTCGATTGTAATTAGAGGCATTAGCTTCTTTAACAAATTAAAATTTGATAAGATCTACTCTACATTTCCTTGAGTACTAAAACCTTGATTACCCTAATTTTGGGGGGAATTAAATAAAACAACTGAAGAACACATCCAACAGTAGATACAGTAGTTTTAATATATCATATTTTAGACCATTACTTCACCATGCGTATCAACAGAGGTTACAATTTTACTTTTTATCACTACTCTAACATTAACGATTACGAAAGACAATTATATCAATTAGCGCTTAACACATGAGCTTACAATAACTACAGTACAACGGTACTTATATCATTCTTACCAAATTATTACTCTGCGAAAAGTGTTTATTACAGTCACATCGCACAATTGCACTTTTCAACTGATATATATGCTACATAGTTAAGAGTGCAGCAATCATCTAATCAAAATCGGAATAAAAGTATCTATTAATAAAATTGTAACTGGTGGATTGGTGTCGAAATAGTACTATATGTACGCAATTACCTATTTATAATTTCGGTTAATTCTTGAAGCTAACATACAACTGAACATACGCGTATATGCAGTATCAAGCATTCTTTTACAGTAGATCACCGCCTTTATAGTACTGTAATATTAAGATTAAAGATTTAGAGTCGCGTTCTTTACAACACTGATACAAGATTTACTTTATTAGCAAAATACATTAAGTTGTTTATAAAAGTGTCAGAATTAGCAGCCACAGCCATCAGACTTTGGAGTTTCGCTGTTATTAAGTTTAATCGGATCGGGAAAATCGTTATACACAGATACATCAGATTCTCTTGCCAAGGCATTTTTAGCGATAGTCTGGAAAGCTTGCTCCACATTAATTGCTTCCTTAGCACTTGTTTCAAAATAAGGAATGTTGTTCTTAGATGTGCACCAATTTTGAGCTCTCTTCATTGTGACCTAGAACAGTATATTATAAGAAATTCGTTAGCCACCCAGATACCAAGTTTTGTCAACAGCTTAAGAGATGAGGGTCTTACAGCACGATTCTCTAGGTCAACTTTGTTTCCTAACACGACGAAAGGAAAGTTTTCGGAATCACGAGGGCTTGCTTGAATTAGAAATTCATCCCTCCAACCATCTAACGATTTAAAAGAATTTGCGACAGTTACATCGAAAACCAACACGCAGCAATCAGCCCCACGATAAAATGCCACTCCCAGACTCTGAAATCTTTCCTGTCCAGCTGTATCCCATATCTATCGGATAAGAAAATATACTTAAGAAATAATAATTAAAACCTTGATATCACGAAAGAATCTAACTGTAATACTAACTTGCATTGTCACTAATCGATCATCAACCATAACTTCTTTAGTTAAAAAATCTGCACCAATTGTTGCCTTATATTGATTACTGAACTTTTTATTGACATACTGATTCATCAAAGAAGTTTTACCAACACTATTTGATGAAAACAAAAAGATGAGAAAATTGCTTTATAAACGCAACAACTAATTAAAATTCTTGATGGACGTACCCGCTATCGCCTAAAATGATAACCTTTAATAGAACTTTCTTTCTAGATGCCATCTTGCGGAGCGGTCTCTAACATGGTTATAAAACGAAATAAATTCGTATAATGCACTGCACAGTATACGAAAGTTACATAGACATACTGTATAGTAATGCAACGTACGTACTGTACTGTACAGTACATTTAGTGTCGTATCAGTCGTACAGTACAGTACTGTACATATCGCACAGTGAAAACGACAGTGAAGTGTTAAGTGCTAAGGAGGAAGTACTGTACGTTACAGTAAAGTAAAAGTCTAAAAACTTATATGGATTCACGCTGCGATTTGATGCGCCGTGCTGTACTGTACAGTACAGCCGCTTTTTTTAGGTACTACTATTACAGTACAGTACTGCGTAAAGTTCAACTTCAAAACTCCAAAACAGCACTAAAACTATGTCTTTAATTATTTCGACTATCATCCAACATTGCTGAACTAAGCCATATAATATTGAACGTGTAAAACCATATTGAGATACACTACAATATATTACGCACAGTTTATGTACAATATATCAAATTAATTACAAAGATGTCTGTGCAACTGTATCATGATGAGTAACGAATTAAGAGCACTGTATTGGACTGCCATTGCTGTATGTAAAAAGAAAACAGTATGCGTACAGTCTTTGAAAATATCATACTGTACTTATTATCGGATTTAGTTTCATTGGTACAGAACTCAACGTAATATAAAGCTAAATCATGTGCCCACTCACTGGACAGTAAAAAGAATCCGTGATTATTTTAATTAGTGTTTAACAATTTAATATAGTACAGTATGAATTATGTAAAGCTTTAAACTGTCTACTGCGCTGCATCGTACTGCACAACTAGAACGTTTAGTGTTTCCTTTGCAAATCCGAAAGTTAGCATGCAGCCATGCATGTACTGTACAGTACTGTTGTTACTAAAAGCTTTTTAAGAGTTACGCCAAAATAAGTGAAAGATAACGTTACAGTCAAATTAAGTCATAAACAAGAGTAAAAGTACATAAATTACGTTAATTACTGCTACTATAGATGAACGGACACAAAGAACACACGTATACGCACTACATGGTACAAACCTTTCCTTCTTAAAGTGCTTAAACTCAGGTGCAAAAGTAAAATGGCGTTACTCTAATAAATTGATCAAATCTTCTAAACTCTGGTTAAGAGCGCTACGTTGGTCTCGTGATTTTTATGACGTAATATAGTATAGTATAAGGATTTACCCGTAGTACAGGACTGTACTGTACATTGGTTTGGCCTGCAACCTTTGACGTGTACCGTACCAGTATGTACTGTACACTGTACTGTACACTAAGGGTCTCTACGATACTGTAACACTGTACTGTACTGTACAATTTAGCCTCGCTGTCATGCTGTCACAGAGTTGAAGTCCATTTTCAACTATGAAATACTGTACCCCGTACGGTCGGGCGTACGGTCGTGTGTAAAAACTTGGAATACAGTACTGTACTGTACTGTATTCTGTACAGTACTGTATTGTGTACTGTAGTCATACTGTACAATACAGTACAAAAACAGTACAGCGTACTGTACGTACAGTACAGTACTGTAGCTTTTTCCCTCTGGGCGAGCGGACTTTTTCTAGCCGATCCCTCGCTCTTGTGGATCTACGGTACTGTAATTTTTAACTGTACAGTACTGTACACTGTTCAGTACTATATTGTACTGTACTGTACTGTACAGATGGTTAGAAGTTGCCAAACTGTACCGTACAGTACTGTACACTCAGTGTACTGTACAGTACATACTGTATCTTATCAACGTAACCACGCTACAGATGTACTGTACAGTACTGTACCAATACCTTACAGTACTGTAGAGTGTAGACCCTTCAGATTTTGACTAAATGTTTAGAATCCTATGCTGAAACGTCTCAAACGATGGTAGTGTACAGTATTCGCTTACTAGAACTCATATACAAAATTGCAGGTAATTCTATAAAGATTTACAGTACCGTACCAATACCTTACAGTACTGTACTGTACAGTGTACACTAGTGTACTGTACAGTACAGTAAGTCTAAGAAGTCCCTAGTACTGTACTGTACTGTACAGCGGCAGTACAGCTCAGTACTCTACTGTACTGTAGAGCGAGTGTACAGAATCTACTGTACACATACAGTACTGTACAGTGCAACAGTAGAACTACGGTACAGCACAGTACACGCGTTGACGAGGCAGATATGGCTTCTCAATCTGGTGTTCGAAAAAGGCATTTAAATGAAAGACCAGCTGGTAGTATTTCTCCAGGTATTGCAAAATAATGATAAATAGCAGAAAAGTAGCCTTCCTTGATCACTGATCAGTCTTAAAAAGAAAATAATATCTACTGCGAAAGAGTTATTGGATTAGCATCGATACAAGTACTGGACTATATTAAAACACTATGTAAGACAATCACAAGTACTGTACAATATGGTGGGTTTTTACTAAAAGACGGTTAACAGTACTTTTAGTGTTGACCCATGATATTTCAAATAAATTTTTAACTTTAACCTGTCAGTTTTATTTTAATACGAATTTTATACCCTGCATATTTAAACAATGCCTGAAGATATACGGTAGATGATATACTGCTACTGCAGGAGCCTACTTTTGGTAGTTCCTGCTATTTTTAACTTTTACACAGACGATATGCTCATTCTGCAAACTACTGTACTGTAGACTCGTATACTGCTCTCGTTCGACTATTTTATTTTAAATATTAAATTATAATCATAGATGAAAGCGCTTTCGACGAAACCAGACACAAAGTATTTGTCTGTATCTTTCTCCTTACTGGTATGGCGTTATTAGGATATTATGGATTTTATGTAAATAATGATCGCAATGCATCTGACATGGATCTGCAACCTAAACTTCGTAAGTTAATGCTATAGAAAATCAATTTTATGAAGTATTAACTTTTAAACTTACAGTAAAATTTTGATTGGAGTAGCGCATGTGGAGTGATCCACAGAGAGTGCTGTATTGCATCGGATAGTGTAGTAAAACTTACGCACCTTGAATTATTTTGTGAATCAACTCATAAGGAACGTGCATTGGAATCATTTCAAAAGAGATCGGTAGGGATTGGCGAAAACTTGGTGAAGCGTTAAACTTCAGCGAAAATAATTTGCAAGAGTTCGATAAAGAAACGTCTCACTTTACCAGAGCTTCTAAAATGCTAAAACAATGGCAACAAAGAGGCGATTCGATGACTGCAACACTGAATAATCTAATACAAGCCTTAAGAAGCGCATCTAAGGCTGGATTGGCTGAAAAATGTGAAAATCTGTAGAATATAGATCCAATCCTTCTGTTGATCATCAAATGTAGTTTACAGTTAGTTGTAACCAACGAAATATTCGTAGTATATGTACTGTATTAACTTTAATAAAAGCTTAACATTTATAATGTCATTTACAGCAGACACTAATTACGACTGCAATTGATTGATTTACTACCTAGAAGTTGACGTATATGTAATAAGACAATTTGGGAAAAATCCAGAAGTAGTTATGTGATCCCTTATTAACCGACTATGACGCGGGTATCCTTGTATCAGTCAGTATTGGATTAATTTAATAATAATTTTGTTATAAATGCTATAATCACGAAAATTACGCCGCAGGGCCGAGCAGTCTACACTTTCTGATGTAATACAATATCAAGATTACTTTAGATGCTTTTTATCTTCGTTATGAACTCTGATGCACAATTAACATGATCTTTCTCAACAATCCGTAACTGCTGGTACCTATTTTATATAACGACTCGAAGACAATGCTTCGACAGCTTTATAAGATAGCTATAGAATCAAATCAAATAACGAATATGCAAGATGACTCTCATAAAATTCGCAATCGTAAGAAAATTGTTACGATGCTTCATTTTACACCATAGCATTGGAACATTCCCAGCAATTACGTATGATGGATTACCGTGAAGCTAATTAAATGTATGAGAACTACTACTATGCGTATAATTAAATAGTTTTAGCATCAAATTCACTATTATACTGTGAAATAGCGCGCTGAAATCAGCCTACCAGAGCATATCGGGACTACTAAAGTCTAGTCCCTGAGCATATCCAGCTGCAAATTGTATATTCTATACGCATCTTAACAGCTTAGATGTAATTGAGCTGTTATTTCCATCAGTAAGCAATGTAATAGTACCGCTTTCTAGGTTACGTAATAGGTTTGCGGCGATACTATGCTAATAAATTATAAAATTCATTAACTATAGCTATAATTATTTACGAGTTCGGCAAGCGTCATTTCTACCTCAAATTTCTAGGATGTCTTCTAAAATTTGTTTGACTCGTAAGCAGTAAGAAGTTAAAAATTTATATTTTACGAATAAAGCTTGATTTTGATGGTTAATACAGCACTGCATTATCGTAATTTATAGTTTATAGTATATGACACGCAATATTAATCCAAGTCGCACAGCAATACCAATTAACAGTTCATGAATTACGCCAGTATCATGTAAGTTCAAGCTCCTTATAGGTAATAACATTTAGCAATTTTCAATAAAAATGAATATTAAGTTGACTCCGTCGAAGCAGACATATCTGAAAAAAAATAAAATAAGGCTTTAAGTACTAAACAAATATAGTTCACTATTGATTCTAAATTGCACAGTCTTTAGGTAAAAATGTAGCATAACTAAAGAATAAATAGAATTTGTTTTCCAGAATATATATACAGTAATCCATTTCGCTTGGCGAAAATTAAGCGTCGATAAAATAATAGCGACATAATTTTTAAATTCTATTAAATGCTTGACACGGCACTCATGCCGTGGAATTTACTGTAATGACATTGCTGTACGTAAGTTTAGTAACAAGTTGTTAATGAATGTTGGAATTATAAAATTACTGGACAAGAGTACACAAACCGGCAAAGTGCTGTAAATATTAGCCCAGAATTATTCATTTTTAGATCTCAGAATGTAGGAATACTACTTTTATTAGTTGATGTTAACCTCTATGTACAGTATATACTCTCGCAGAAATTCTCAACAGAATTAAGGGTAGCTTAGGAGGCGATTTTTGACAATAAAGAAATTCATAAATTTGAATTTGAGGAAGTGATTATGCTTAGCTGTAGTTGGAAGTAGTTCATATGTTAATCTCAAATGCACAGTATAAACACTGCCTTTAAACTGAAAGCCACACAATGAACTGTACTACTTTTCACTGGTATATACTGTAGCAACCCACTTCTAGTATCTGATGTTATTAGGTTATCAACATTTCTTTATTCAATAGAAATGTTGTACAAAATTGATTACACTTACTCGTATCAATCTAACCATAAAATTAAGCTAGCTACATAGAGATGTAAAAGCGTATGGTACTAATATGTAAGAGTTTATCTCTTATTTTCATAAACTACAGTAGAAAACTTATTATTAACAGCTTACAGTATACTAAATATTGAATACAAAAAGAGAAATTCTGTCGAAAAAATTACATTACTACAGCTAAAGTAGGAAATATCATAAAGTTTACTTATAGTACACGCTGAAAATACGATAGCAAACCTAGCTCTTGATCTTTTCTAAGTTTGTCGCGCGTTTCAATGCGTTCAAGAGCCTTGTTTTTGGCCCAATTTCGTAATCTAGGAAGATGAAAATTATCGATTAGATTTTTAAATTTTAAGTTATCCGTAATCATTACGAATGTAATCAATCGAGACGGTTAAGTGTAAAATGTACACACAATATAATAAGATAGTATAGAAAGTAGATTATACAACACGTCATACGTTGTGTCAGGTTTATAATGATAGCCTACTACTCCAAGAAGAAGACTAAGGCCTAAACCAAATACCCAGATATTTTCCCAGTCTTCCTTTTTGCGTAATTCACCCGGGCGACGAGGCTATAGCAAAGTTATTTTTATAACCATAATTAGTAGGCGTTGAATTTCGCAATTTTACTCGTATAATCATAATCGAGGAGCTACTGGTTCCACCATGCGATTAACTACAGTTATTGCAGCGGGCTAGTTGGTGTAAAGTAATGCGTAAGGACATACAGAATAATTTGCAATAAGGAAACAAATTTGGCAGAATTAATACGCGCTAGTTTCTTAAACGCTTATATAGTACATTGTGTTATTTGTTAAATCTGGAACAAGCTGGTGTGCTATCAGTGGCTATTAGCGCAGTAATCATAAAAAACATAACTACTTCTCAGTAGTAGTATTTTTATTTTACTTTTACAAATTGATAATTACAGTTTAACAAGTAAAGTTAAGTTGGATTAATTAAAGATTCTGTAAAGAGAGTGGTTGTGCCATTATCTTTAATTGATCCGTAAAGTTTAGAAGTAAAATTTAACGACTCAATTCGATTTCACTTAATCTACAATCGTAGCTTTTAAAGTATGTACGAGTACTGTACAGTACATCACGTTACACTCAGTTTAAATAAATAATATTTATGAGATCGATCAACATCAGCATTACCTTAAATTCAGTAAATAGTATAGGTCTAATTTTTTCATTATTAAAAATACGTATTATCTGATACCTAAATGTTGACTGAATATTGAACTTTTTCAGATTTTTTGTTGTATTATTTCACTGCATAAATGCATTTACATATTTAAAAGTGAGCCCACCGCAGGTTGCAAAAATCTTCAAAAAACGTTGGTGAAAAGCTCTATAATCTATATGTTCTCCTGTTTCTAGTAGTACCGTGTTGCCAGCTTGCAAAAATCTTCAAAAAGACATCACTGAACCGCTCTATATGCTCTTCTTTCTCTAGTAGTTCTATGCAATGATATAGAGCTGTTTCCGAAATGTCTTCCTGAGGATTTTTACAAGCTAGGCCCCTGTATGGCTGCAGTGTAGTACACTGTAAACTCCACTGTCACTACAAGAGGATTTCTGCATGTCACAGTTTAAATTGTACGATTACGTTATAATTTACAAGAATATATTACCTTCTCATTAAATAAGAAACCATTTGGCTTCTCAGCGATGCGCCTAACTGAGGAAACCAGCACGTTGTAAGATTTTGTCTTTCTGATAACAGTTGATATTCCAAAAACCATTGCGAATGCTTGGAAGTTTAAGAAGCGGTCAGAAATTGATAGGAGCCTTTTACTTACGGAAGTTTGGTTTACAGTACTGTAAGAAGGCACAAAGCATGTGTGAACGCCACGTACTGTACGGTACAGTCATTTCTGAAACTGTACTGTACTGTACAGTACTGTAGTGTACAGTACTGTATAGTACACCAGACCATAAAGACCTCTAACTACTCCAATGAGATGACTTTCAGGAGTACTGTTTCATTCAGTATTTTAGTGCCGACTCGATTATTACCGTACTTTTTTTAAAATAATGGTAAAGCAACAGTTTAATGTGTACTGTACTGTACTGTACCATTGCACTGTACAGGTAGAAGATACTGTACTGTATTATCCTGGAGAATTTACTGGAGACTACGAATTAACTATTTTGATCTTTAAAATGTTTCATAGATTCAGGAAGAAAAGAGAATTTGAGCAGGTTATTTTGTGCTTTATAACTGATTTTGCATTACTTTAAATCCTTACTGTACTATATCATTTAATTACTTTATTTTGGATTAAATGCATGAATGAAATATTTCGCTTCATTTATAAATAAATGGGCGGATAGAACCCACAGCGCGTTTCCGAGCCTTCAGCACCAGCCGAAGCTACAGTAAGTGTTGTGTTTAATGACTAATGACTATTGCATATCGTAAATATTGTAAATTTCGAAGCAAGTGGGTTAAATGATGTTTCATATTTACTTCATTATAAGTTATTATTGTAACTCAGAAATAAAGTAAGCATATGCTGTATTATCTCAACATGGCTTTTGGTACATACAGTAGTAGTTTATCTGTACTGTACAGTACAGTAGATGCTGTGTACAATTAATACCAAGATTAATATCTTGGTATTAATTTTCTCTAAAATGTACATGATCGTTGTGAATTTATGATGATGATAACAATATAACATAAGGGCTATTATTTAGGGCTTTATCTGCCCCCAATGCATGTCCTCTCACGCCGACGCTGGAGCTCTTGAAGCTCATTACCAACAAGAACACGGACATGGCAATAACTTGGAGGCTGCAAGTGACGTAAATATCCCTACTAATGTACGTGTATTTTCGACATTGCACATGTCTGCTTCAATACCATATCGCTAAATTTTAGTAAATTATCATAACTTAATGTGTCCACTCAGCACTATAACAGATGTTTAATTACTATTATTAACTAGTAAATGATAAGTAATATTCTAATATATAATAAGATAAAAAGACATCTAATTTAACGAATACTAACAGTTAATTTAGTATCGGATTCCATTATCTACTTTTTATCACACTCATAAATTTGATAATTATATAATTAATGTAATTAATTGGTAATTCGAGTAATATTTTTTGCACTATACTATTAAATAAATATCAGGAGAGCCTAAAAAGCTCAACACATCATCCAATTGTAGAACCTGTGACAAGAGATATTACAAATATATCCAATGATGTCAAAACTGAGAATTTAATTTCTCTGGAAGATGAAAGTGTAAACTATAAATATCCCGCTCATGAAGAAATTAATCTTATCAACGCAGAATTGAAGGATTTAACATTTTCATTAAAGGTATTGTAAATCGAAATGCAGTAAGCATAACTGTAAATGATGTCATGCTTATTGTGTAAGCCACAGAGGACAGACAACTTTACTTAAATCAAATACTATAAACATATGAATCGCTCAACATACTAGTATGCACGCGGTACAATTTAGATAATAATTGATCATATTACCCAGCGTCTACTGTAATGTTACCTAATATTTTGTGTGATGGAATATACTCGTATATGGCGATGTATACGGTGTTTTTGTTTTCTTAACAACTGATCACTGAATGCCCCATATGATAGTAAACGGTATCGTATTATTAATTGGCTTAACTGATATTATTTATGTTGTTAATGTATTACTCGTGCTGTATCAGGAAGAGAAATGTTATTCTGCAACCTTGCAAGAGGAAGTTGATAGATTAAACAGCGAAATATTAGAGAAAAATGCAAACATTAAAGAACTGATAACGCAACTAAATCAGTTACAAGAAAAACATACCCAGGAAAAAGAACTGACTGAGTTGTTTAAGGTCCAAGGTTGGTTAATCCGCTACTCTTTATAATCGCAACTTCGTTTATTATTTGGTTTACTGCAGATAGAAATCTAGTATTCCTGCGTAAATGTATAACAGTCAATAAGTTCGTAATTAACGGTATAATATGTGATGTGAATAGGTATTTGTATAATATTACACTTATGACAACGTCACGCTGTTTTACTAAGTAAGCTATAATTCTTCTATTTGTATAAGCTCGAGATCATATAAGTAAGCTTACAGATGAACTAGCAACATTAAGAATCAAAGCAAATGCTGAGATTTCGGCTGATTATTCTGTAAGCGATAGCAAAATAAAAGAATTGTCGAACGAATTGAAAGCTGAAAGAACATTAACGACTCAACTTGAACGGAAACTGAAGGAATCAGAGGTAGCCTTACATTTTTATCTTTGAATAACTATAGTTATAAAACGCACCTGTACGTTCTTTGCAACTTAAGACTATATAACGTGTTCATTGTAATAAATTACTTATTTCAATAAAGTAATATATTTCAAAGTAAATATGTCATCACCATATAAATTTGTTTATACGAGTAATGCTAGGTCTTATTTAAAGCTTTTCTTCATTGACAGGATGAAGTTTTTACTCAGTCACTAAAAATAACGAGTCTTCAAGAGAGTCTAAATAAAGAAACAAATGAAAATATTCAAGCTCAGTTAGATCTGAGTGAGAAAAATTCGGAACTGCTCAAAGAACGGTCTCAATTAAGTGATATGGAAGCCCGAGTAGGGTTGGTACAATCAAGGTTAGAGGAGGAAATGCAATTGTCGGAGGTGCTGAAACGTGAAAATAATCAGAACAAATTTGACATGGATGCTTGTCAGCGTCAAATAAATGATTTAACAAATGAAAGACTTAATTACTTGAAAGAGATAGAATCTCTAAGAAACCAGTTTACCTATGGAAATGCCTTAGATGATTTTGGTTCTAAATATTCGTCATACAAGGCAAATGAGGATAATAAAAGGTTGGCAAGGTCTGTATTTCAGAGTCTTACGCGATATCGAGTTAATTATCTAATGGATATACTGTAGCAGCGCATTGTTTGTACTATTAAACTCTGTTATAGGTATACAGTTGATACAGAATTAAATATTATTGAACGTGTTCGTGTATTTAGTAATACAGAATTAAGAACAAAGGGCATTTCAGAAAGCATTATTGATAAACCTGTCATGGATGTTAATTCTACAAGTCTTCTCAAACCTGAAATCGAAGCTTCTGATGATACTGCTGACACTGAAAATCTGAAACTAAATAATGATAATTTTATAACTAGCAAGTTTCCTTTGGATTTTGAGGTTAGAAAGTTGGCTATTATATATGCCTTAATGAATAATTAATTATTGACTATTCATATATAATATAATTTGAGTATTGCATTCGTTGTCGAACTACATATTATTACTAAATGTTACCGGCTTATATTTGCAATCCAATTATGAGCATATCTATAGTAATGTCAAATATCACCTTATCAAGTATAACTGAAATAGGCTTAAGAGTAAAAATGAATTTTGTCAAATCAGCATGAATGAAGATATAATAATATAACCGTATTAGTTCTGTAGCCAAATGTTAAGTAGACTACATAATTAATAGTTTACGATCTGATAGCCAAAAAAAGACGACTCTGAAGACTCAGAAATTCGCGGTAAAGAATCTAGAAAGTTGATTTCCAGTCATAACGCTGAACAACAAAGCATGGTAAACTGTGACTTACAATATCCATTCCTAAGTAGTCTACACATTTTCCTATTTAAATAGCAATTTACTACTTTATAGTCAATTTATAGCGAAATTTCTATTACATTTCATGACTTATTTTACATTTACTAATATTCACATGTGATCAATATCGCAGTTCAAAGAATATGAATACAGAATTATTAGCCTTGAACGAAATTTACTATTTAGTAACGAATGCTATACGGAAAGGTTTTATAATAGAATATTCTTATTGATCTACATTTGATGCGTTCAATCCTACAGTGTATTTGCAAACGTATTATGTACTTACAAGTTATTTATGTTTTGAAAATCGGTAAAGTGTTCAAAGTTTTATAGATATCGAAAATTCATTGCGAGCATTAAGGGAACACTTCAAAAACTTGATACCTGAAAAAGTTTTCAATGACATGGTAACAGTAGATTTTAGTTACAATTGTGGGATTACAGTATAGCTATAGTAGTGGCCGATTAATTATTTAATAACGGGAACTATGATTTCGTTTGTTACGTGCAAATAGTTCCTACACTTATGGTTTTCTTTCCTCTAAAACGGTAAACAGGATCCAAATATTGCCCACAACGTGTTGCAGAATTCGGAAGTTGCAACAGAACAAACGAAAGTAGAGGTTTGTGACGTTATAACGCGAAGTCTGTTACCGAGTGCCAAGGCTCAAATTTTAAATGAATCGATACCGGTATACCCATTATATATCATTATTAATGCCGTAAAATTTTTAATTTCAATTCGAACTCTTACTAGCGAATTCCCTTGGAATTTGCAGCTGAGAAAGCAATCCACACAAGTGAAGATGCAACAGAAAAGGACAAGCTGCAAATTTTGTAAGACCAATGTTCTTCAGTACTTAACTAGCAATTTTTTTCCGTATACTGTAATAATCTGACGTTGTATCGGCAGGAAATCACACATCACGAATTCCAAAAACTTGGTATCTAGCCTAAAAGAAAATATTTCATATTTAGAATCTGAACGGAGCGAAGCTTTCGTTAGTAATCCATCTCTAAACAATATCTCCTACTCTTATAAATTTTAATATTTCAGCGCTATAATATAAGCTATATGTACAGTACAATAAACAAAACTATAGAGGCTATTATTTTTATTCAAGG